ACATGCTCCAGCCACTCTTGATGCTCCGGAGCATAACGGACTTTTGCTGATGATTCCAAACAACAAAAGAAAATGAAAAGAAAAACACAAACTTCCTCATACCACTCCAAACACTGCGTCAAACCTCCGTCCCTTTATTCCATTCGACTCTCCTCATCCATAGCTTTCTAACAATACCGATTTTGTGAAATTTGGTGGAGATTTGACTGAGAACGGGAATTCTCAGATGCAGAATCATATCTTGATTATCCATGCACAGGGAAACTTGGACCAAATATTATGCCATAATTCCAAGACTCCTCCAATGACTTCTTTAGCATTTGTATCATTTAAATAGCCCATATTCTCTTGGAATTTCACTGAGACTAGCTCACACATGAGCATCCACATAGTTCATATCATCCTGTGACTCCTGTCATGCCTGATAATCAGAATATCTCCACAACCACTGAACCGATTAGGGTGAAATTCAACACTGAGTCTTTGGGCATTTCTCTGGATTTAATGACCCCAATATTGTCCTCTTCCGTCAACTTTTGACCTTGTTCCCTTGGTCGTGGTCAAGTGCACGGACTTCACTCATGAGGATATCTCAGGTTGGATTTCTCCACCAAATCTCAACCAATTCCTTCACAGAAAGGCTCTTTCGGTTCATACAAAAACCCTCTTTCTTCTTTCTAATTACTTCCCCCTATGATTCCTTTTTCCTAATAATGTACAAGGGTGGGAGCCCAATTTGACATATTTGCTGCATATGGTTCCATGAAATTGAGCACACCCGTTATGCACTCCTACAACGCACCCAGTCTTGGGTGCACCAGTCGACCCAGGTGCATTCTCATCATGCACCCACAGTGGATGCCCTCAGGACCTCCCATGGAGGCACCTGGATGGCTGCAGCTGTGTGCATGTGTGAGGTCTCAGTGGATTGCTCAGCACATAGAGCCATAAGTGATATGATGGTGTGTATATTACAGTGTGTGTCAGCAGATAGCCTGGAAGTTACCACTTACCCACATGACTATATGTACCTCATAATTACATATGGCTCAGGGTTCAGGGCTATTGCCCTGACATTCTCCCCCCTTGTGATGCATACATGGTTAATGTCAGAGACCAGGTTGAGACGAGGGAATGTCTCCATGGTGGAGGGCTTCGGCCTCAGCGACTTATGCCAGGAGCGCTGTGCCAAGTAACACGTCCATGCCCTAACTTACTAAACTGGCAACCAGAACTGAAGGGGGTAAACTCTAGTCGATTTTATTACTGAGGTGTAACCTATGTACAAGTTGAGTATATATATAGTTACAATGAGGGCAGGCCCGCAAATGGCAGAGCCAAGTGGAGCGGAGCTAATGGGGTTAGACATTAGCTGATTGAATATTACTGACAAGTCGGGTTACAGGGTTAATGGAATGGTAGGCGATAACCCAGAAACGGAAAGGAGGGATAGGCCCGAAGGTGGGCTTGCAGGGCAAGTGAGTGTATTGCCCAGCAGAGGCGGGAGTGCGCTAGCGGACATCAGAGCTGTCCGGAAGCCTTCGGGGCTCCATACTTAGGGAGGCGTAGGTAATAAATTGAAAGGAGGGGGTGGAGACCATCGAGGGGTACCGAGGTGATTGCAGAATACGGGAGCTCCGAGGTTAGTGAAGGAGTGGAGGTAGACTGGAGGGATCGGAGGGAGTGGAAGTCGATGGCCAGGGATGGATATGACAGTTAATGATGAAGAGAATAAAAAAGAAAAAAAGGAAGTTACTTTGAGTTTGAAATTTTCAATGAGTGTTTTATTATTGCCACCTTAAAGTGGACGATTTGTACATGTTGGCAAGAGAAATTGAGGGAATGAATGGGTGTGGGGCCATCACTTTGAAGTGAACAGTGATACATGGGTATCATGAAGGGGAAAAATGATCAAGAGAAGAAGTTTTTTCAAAAATAAATTTCAACCCAAGGACTATATGTCCTTGGTATTCCTCCTCACTTGTTTCATGAGGAGTTGTCAGAGACTTGGATTATTGTCGGAGTCAGACAAACTGTCAGAAGATGGATGGAAGATGGTTTGGGTTTCTGTCTGAGTCGAGGTCAGAGTTGATGCAGAGGTCTGTTGGAGCATGTGCATGGATATGCAGGCGGAAATATGCGGCGCATCTGGAAGTGCTGTTCAAGGTTAGCAGAGTGGGATCGTGGCCTCAGTGACTCAGGTGGAGTGCTGTGCCCTGAGCTTGACATTTGGGGGAGATCCCATATTTACAGACTGACACTTACAGCGGACTTCAAACAAGACTTGCGGGTGGAGTGGACCTGTAGGAGGAGCGCGGACTCTGCAAGCACGGACTCAGAGGGGGGGAAGCCCCCTTTGCAGAAGGAGGGACTCAGACCAGACAGGGGGGTACTCTAGTTGATTTCAGACTGAGGTCCCCGAAAGTATTTACAAGGTATAAGTAGGTAAGAGAAATCAAAAGAGGGACCGGTTGGTCCGGTGCGGAAATGAGCAGGGACTTGTCAAACTAAACCAAGGACGAGAACCTGGGAAATGGGAGGCAAGGAATGAATAAAGTCAAAGCGGATCAAGTACCAATATTGACAGATTAAATGAATGAATAGGAAAGTGCAATAGCACACAGATCAAATGCCAATATTGGGATGAACATAATAGGCACTCAGCAAGGAATGAATGTTATGTTGCCGAGTGACAAAAATGGCCAGAGGACAAAAGTGGAGGTCAGCGCACGGCACCAATACAAGTCTGCAAATAAGCAGGGTCGGTGTGGTGCCGACACAAGTCTGCGAACAGAGGTTGATCTGTCAGCACTGTCACACAAGGACAGCATGAAGGCCAACAGAGGTACAGAGGGGAGTGGGAGTGTTGACCTGACCAGAGGTGTCAAGGGCAACCAGAAGTGGCCAGAGGGTGCAGAGATGGGCAGAGGGTGCGGAGTGGGCAGAGGGTGCGGAATGCATGGAAGCGGGGCATGGCTGTGACCACATAGTGGGAAGCAATGAGTGTGGTTCAGATGGAGACAAGGCAGGCATAGGAACTGGAGGGACTGAATGCTGGGAGCGCCAAGGGCTCAGGAACTGGAGGTAAGGTCGGAATACCGGCAGGGTCTAGGTTCTGATTATTGGCCAAGTCTCATGCAATAAGGCAGGGGGGCCAGACATGGGGTTGGGGGCTGGTTAGGATGGGTTTCGGGTCAGCGGATTTGCCTATCGGCATTGGTTCACCACTGACAGAGCCCTGGGATTTGTCGGTCGTGACAGGAGTCATGTGTAAATGGTGTTTACACACAAGTGGTGGTGGATGTGGGTTTGGGTGGAGAAGTTTCTGCAATTGTTACTTGTGGTTCCTTGCATACAATATTGTGTGCAGGGCCTCAAGTTGGAGGAAGGTGTTTTCATGGGCACCTCAATGGTGTGTTACTGTGTCACTTTCCCTTTCCTCAAGGGTAGAGTTATTGCCCTGGAGGAGGGTTTTCCTCCAGGTTGTTCATCTGGACATCCAATTGCTGTGTCAGATGCAATGACATAGCCTGAGCTATGGTGTCAAGCTGTGGGCTCGATGAGGTGGGCACTTCCTGGGTGGGAGCAGGTTGTTGTGTTCCCGAGCCACTTGGCTTGGGTGTGGAATACGGTAAGTTTACCATTCTTCCCATGGGGAAGGGTGGTCGCTGGCTCATTTGTCCAGCATGGAGACTTGTATCTCTCTCTCGGTACTTGGATGCTTTCGCTTCCTGCCCCACAGCTTTTGTGGCATACAGTTCCATGAAATTGAGCACACCTGTTATGCACTCCTACAGCATCAACCTTGTTGGCCATCTCCTTGAATGATGTTATGGGCTTTGTGTTGGAATATGGGATGGAGTTGTCGAAATTGTATCCGGTGCAACTACTGGACTTATCCAGAGCTCCAATTCAAATGGCTTCAAATCCAGGTCACATGGCAAGGACATAAAATCATGGACAAGCCTGGTATCGAACCCAGGACCTCTAGCGTGCATCCATACACTACTCACCCTTGAGCCATGCCGGTATAGGCTGTTAAACTCTATACTATTGGGAACATATTATATTCTCCAACAGGAGTAACCTCCCACCATCAGGGATGGAGTAACCTCCCTGGCATAATGGGCGAGTAGTGTATGGATGCACGCTAGAGGTCCTGGGTTCGATACCAGGCTTGTCCATTTTATGTCATTTGTCCAGTCACCTGGTTTACCTCATTTGGATATCACGGAGTAAGTCCCGCGGGGCAACGTGAAATTTCTTCACTTTGGACTCCATCTGGTGTAAAGGATAGTGCACTGAGCTATCAGTGAGTGGTGGCGGCTTGTTCCAGGGTCAGACTTCTCAAGGATCGAAGATGAGTCTGGCTCAGCACAGCCATCCATGAACGACCGCGTATTGTTGGTTGTGCATCAAGAGAAACCGCGCAGTAACCAGATAGTATATTCTCCACAGGCAAGGATTGCTTCCAGTCCCAAGGCAGTCGACCGACTCTCAATGCATCGAGGAGCTCGGCCTCCTTAAGGGACTTTCATCGAATAGTATCTGCTTAAGTTTCAGTCAAGTGCAAAGATGCCATGTTCGCGGATTATGATGGCTCACTGTGATGCAAGTACAGGCAAAGGTGTAAATATCGTCTCGGTGCCACAGTTGAAGATTTCTGGGGCACAATAGCACGAGGTGAATGCAGGACCTGACGATGTATCCCCTGTCGTTAATATAACCGATCCACTAGGTCAAAGATAGCCCGAGGTCACACAACTTGGTGTGCCCAGCCTCGCTGATTAATATAGAATTGAACTTTGAATACCCACCTTGAAGTGTAGGCAGGTTACCAGCCTCTATTAGAATAGATTTGAAGTGATCGTTGGCAGGCAGCGCACAACCACAGTACGACGCAGACCACGTAATTAAGGATGAATCGCAGTTAGCATCTTGCCTGCACAGATTGGACGAAAGAAAGTCACAACAATGTACAGATTAATTAGCCGAGTCACCACTCATAAAAATAGCGAAGAAACAAAAGTAGAGACAAAAACATGGGAGTAAACAAAATTACAAGTTCAGAAAAGAAAAAAAAGGAGGGGACGGAGACTACAGTGAGTCAGGTAAAGGGAGCAAACCCGAGAGATCCCTTTTAGTTCCGAGTCCCTAACAAATCTCAGCCTGAAAACCTAAGACTGCTCATGAAATCCACCATCCCATTGGGAACGTGTCGCGACGAAGGACCACCACCCGAAGAAATCGTCGTTTTCTCCCGATGGGCCTTCTCCGACTCTTTCTCCCGCTCACCCTTCCTCAGTCCCTCTTTCTCTCCTACTAAAGGTGGATAAGCATGATGAGACCCATGGCTATGATCCTTCCCGTTGACCCCATGTCCTCTCCTCTCTTTCTCCTTGTCCCTCGACGAACTTCCCCACCCTCCGAAGATACCCAAATGTCCAGTAAGACTCATCTTTCTAGAGGGCTTCTTCGTCGTTGTCGTCGTGACACCGTTCTCGTTCTCGTTCTCAATAAGTGGAGACACGGACCTTGCTTCGCTCGTTTGCAGCGGTGACGACCGATGCACCGCCGAGTCCGCTAACGGTTTCTCCGGCACAGAAAGAGGTAGAGCAAAAGAATCCCCGACAACACTCCCAGGCCTCGATGATGAGGGGGGTCGTCCATTTATCATCGGACGGGGGGGATTCACCGTACCAAAAGATGATTCCGATGAAGACGGATCACCTGTACTGAGCGGTCTTGCTGGAGATAATGGATGCGCGGAAATAGTTCGGCGCGGCGATCTGTGATGACTGATGGGCGTCTCGAGCGTAACGTTTAGTGGAGATGTCGACGGGGGACCGGAAGTGAAGAGGCCATCATCCACAGTTGGGGATCCTCCAGCAGTACGAGCGTTGAGAAAAGCGGATATAGAAGGCCTGGTAAGGGATGAATGCCTTTTGTGTCCGGTTTGTCCTTGATTGGGACTAGGAGGAGGGGCAAGGTGAACGGTAGAGGGAGTGGTGGTTGGTTGAGGTGCAAATGAATGCAAGTTGGATGGGAGGGGAGGGACAGGGGGAATGTTGGGGTTTATGATGGATGAGCGCTTAGGTGATGACTGAGGGGATTCAGGAGCAGTTCGGGGCCGCACGGACGTGTGGATGCGAGGTAGATCTGTAGACGTTCGTCTCCGTTGTAAACCAGTGGGACTATATGAAACGGGGGGAGAAGGGTTAGCAGTGGGATGATCCACACTGGGTGCCGCTGTTAGAAGAGTCGTTGTGGAGCCTGTACTCAGACTATCTTTACGCTTCGTTCTGAACCACGAGGTGCGATGATTATCCTTTTCTTTCTCGTTTGTAGAGGAATGTGGAGCGATTTGGGAGAAGAGCATTGACGGCTCCTTGTGTAAGGTCAACTTGGCAGGAGCAAGCTCTGCTCTCGTAGGGGATGGTCGTTCTTTCTTTCGGAAAAAGGACGGAGTGAGCGATTGAGACGATGATAGTAGTGTTGATGAAGCCGCGGATGACTCTGGTGCTTTGGTGACCCTGGGCGCTGACTTGTGAAGTTTGTGCGGGGAAGGTGATCGGGGTTGAATTTCGCTAGATACCCTAGAAGAGGCAGAAGATTCATGTGGATTCAGATGCGGCGTTGTCGACGTGTCCGGGCCAGAAACGGATTGGGCAGAAAAAGACGCTCTCGATTCAGTCGGAGCAGAGAACGTCGAGCGCAAAGCGTCCGAGAACCCAATTGCAGGAATACGGGGAGGTTTTCGGGGAAGTCCAATCGCTTCAGAGTCCATGTCTACCGCTTGGTAGAACAGTACATAGCCAGCTGCTGTAGATGTGTCGCCAAAATATTTCGGTATGTCCGATTCCTGGATGGTCGAGACGTTGTCATCGTCAAAAACGCGCCACACTCCACCATACGACTTGACGATCGCTATGTAATGACCGTGGTGCGGTCCACTAATGAAAATAGGGAGACGCTGTCAGGTCCACAAACCCCTCCATCACATCCCAAGAGTATCCAACTTACCCTCCTATGTGTACCACAAAGGAAAAGAGTTCATACAGCCTATCTGGATCCTCTGCATCATCCACGGTATTGAACAGCCTCAATTCGAGCGGGAACGCCACTCGATAACCGAGCTTGACATACTTGTCCTCATCCCAATTATGCTTGAACCTTTTCAAATGCAGCGCAAGCACGTTCGGTAGCCGTTTGATTTTCATCCTTGAAAGAACCATAGCCCCAAAAAAGGCAATTGTGTCACACAAAAAGCAACGTCAATGGTGCAATTCAATCGTGTGGAACAACCATATGCGGGTGGCAATCAGACAAATAATGACGTTGCCAACCGCCTATGCTCAATAACTCACCGCTTCTCAGCCTCCTGGAGACCGCAGCATGAGTCGCAGAAGAACTTGTTCTTTTCGCACAGCATTTCGCTCGCACTGAACTGCTTCAAACAAGATGTGACGCTCGAATTCCGTTCGATGTCGATCGACAAATCCAGAAATGCCTCATCCCGAGACGAGACCTAAGGGAACGGACTGTTGTAAGTTTCAAATTGAAATGAGCCGATTTGTGACCACGGGGACACGGATAATCCCGATCGTAGAAAGGTGGATGAGGACCGCGTGATGCCCTGGCAATATCGGAGAGGGATCCGAGGGGGTTGATCGAACAAGTGCTTACAATTTCGCAGGTCAAGCACCGCGTTTCATTTGTCAGCGCTCCTTCAAAGAGCGTCTGAACGAGTGTTCTTGGATGAGGTGGCCGTGCAACATTATTTGACTCGTTGGATGTGCGTGTGGATGCAATTGATCGTGACACTGGACAACGGGTTAAGGCAACAATCAGCAAAAACGGGAGGAAAAGGGAGGGTTTAGAATAACAAGGATCAACTCACGATCCTCCCTCCCTTGGACGTTCCCCTCTAGGTCCTCCACAATTTTATTAAGTAAATAATTCAAAAATTCATGAGCATCCTGATGCATTGAGCTCCTAAACAGTTCGTTTTCCTTCTTCAATTTCGTGATGAATGATGTCGGTTGTACCGTCCCCTTCATTTGAGGGTGTGATGAGATGTGCAAGTATAGGGAACGCAGAGCGGAGAAGAGAGTTGAAGGGATGGGGGCAGGTGTCGGAGGCGGTTGCGTAGTTGTTTGGGGGTGGCCCCTTAACGGGCGCTCATCTTTGTGCAAGGGTGGTGTAGATGAGGGGGAATCGGATCGGACGAGCTGAGGGACAGGTGGATGTACACCAGATGGTGTCGTCGCGTGTGGGTCGGGCGTTAAGCAGATGAGCTCCCGAAACGGCTGGCAAAAATACAGGGCTTGTAGCACAGAATTGACATAGCTGGGAGGGTGTGAACAAAATTATCGAGAAGACATATAAAACAGCACCTGTGAGACAGTGGGCAAATCGTTGAAGGCGTGAACTCACCAAGTGTTGCCAAACTGTATAGATGGTCCGTATGCACGAATCGGGTAAAAAGAACGCAGATAAGCAAATCCCCCCCTTGACGAATTGCAAAATGGGCAATTCAAGGACCCACATTTTCCATGCCAAACTGCTTGGCATCCGCTCCTCCGTCCTCCGCTGAGGTGAGTGCACTACCACTCCCATCCACATATTGGGTCCCTGCATGACCCGATCCATTAATTATGGAATCGCCGGACCCTGTACCACTCGCGTGTGCAGCGGAAGATTGTGGTTGTTGGTTTGAACCCCCAGTGATCCACTTCTTGAGCATCGGCCGTAGAGCACAGAGCAAAAATCGAGGGTCTTCCTATGCAGGTGGCCACTTCCTATTTGAAATGGTGTGCCGAAGGCGCACAGGCGCGCACAAACACGAGAGCAAGGATGAAGATTCAATAGATTGAGGACCAAGAGAGAGCTCTCAAATGACCGCCTGTTTCTGCACTGTCGCTTGCCCCAATTGTGCCAAGATGGGTGCTCCGCTTTCAAAGGGTGTGTTTCTCTATTTAAAAGTGTGAAGTGAGATAGATGCAGAAAGAGTGACGGTGGGCAATGCAAGGAGATAATTGTTTCGCAAATGGTTGAACCGCCACGCGATGCCAAAAAACTGAATGGGTTTGCTTCCGAGGTGGAGATCCACGCCCCGACGACCTCGGGCGCTTCGCACATCGCTAGGACCGTTTTGTCCTCACACACTACCTGTTTAGCCGTAATTATTTGGTGAACTGTAGCCTGGCCATGGATACGTGCGAAGAAGCTGGTTGTGAGCAACGAGCTGGTTCCACCCATTCAACGCCAAAGAACAAATTATTGCATATTCCGAATGTATGATGTATGATATATCACGGGCACTGCAAAAGCAGATCACAAGGCGCTGAGCGGGTATGGGTACTGTTTATTCCATCTCTCGCCTGGGGTTGGTGGGCACGAGATTAAAGTTTGAGACCCAGCCGAAATCCGAGCACTATATATTGTGGGAAACTTTGAGACAAAAGGGATATACATATGGATAGATGGGGATGCACGGAAATAATGAACTCGCAAGTTTCTCCGCTGATCGTGGCTTGGTCATCTGCGATCTCTTGCGATAGGCGGTACGGTGAATAGGATACCAGTGATACAATACTGCAAATGAAATCGATCCTACATACCCAAAGGCAGAAGCGCCGTGATGGGAAGGGAGTACGTGTTGCACCTACTAGCGTGGTACCCGTTTCAGGAGAAACTCGGGTTGGCGCCACCGAAACACCCCGGATTCCATCCCACGTCCCTTTGGGAACATACCGATCATCATCGATTGCTATGAAATTAACTCAAGCCGCAGACCTCAATCCTTGTACATAATGTGAGGCTGGGGGGGTCAAGTCTTGGTCCAGAAGGGCGTGATGAACGATCCTGACAGTGCCCAGAGTTGAGCCTCATTGTTGACCCCATGTGAAAGGGACGACGCCGGAGGCATTACGGCATTCAGCTTGGCTTGGTTTCGGGTATTTCGTCTGGGGCGTTCTTCATCGGGTATCTGCAAACCGAACATACGTCCCCCACCGGACACACCCGAGACGGATCCCGTCGATCCGAAGCTGATTTTCCATTTCCAAGGGCACGCCCGGGCTGTGTTGTAAACGCGGCGTTCCAAATATGGCAACCCGCTTCAGCGGTTCACTCGCAACCAAGATGTAATATAGAAAGAAATATAACTAAAATACACACGGCGCTCCAGCGCCCATATTTGTACTTCCCAACAATATTCCAGGCTCTTCTATGCCCAGCGCTTACGCAGGCGCCTAGTAACCCCTAGAATATTCCCGGATATTCCGGTTCAGTTTCATCATGTGACTCGTATTCCAACAGGCTGACACCAAGTTAGGCAGGACACACCAGCTTTACTCCAGTAGGATAGGATACCGAGTAAGTACTTTTAAAGGACTCGTTTCCCCACAAAGAGTACACCACGGCGTCGACCGGGACGGAAACAGATATATCGGCGGAAGGAGCTCTTCAAACATTCACTTGGCGGGGTAACCCCAAAATCATGTGGTGGCTTGTCTCCCAGCGGCGGATCTTGGCCGAATTGGTTGCTTATAGCATCGAAATATTCCTGTTGGTATAGGAGGAGAGTTGGTGTTCTGATTAATCGGAATTACAGCCGTTTTTTAAAAATTAAATCCGATTCCATCGGGTTGGTGGGGTTGGACAATCATTTACCAAAAAAAGCTGGCTCGGCCGTGAGGGATCTCCTTATTTGGGTAGATCGCTTGACGCCTGGGTCCAAATTTGTCTATTTTGATAGAGGCGCTGCATGCACACGTATATATCGCTTTCGGAACCGGAAAGATTTCTTTGAAATGGCTGTAATAGCTCATTCAACAAGCAAAATCTCCAGAGGTTTCTAGAAACGATTCTGTTGCCGGTGGAAAATGAGACGTTTCCAGTAGAAGCCAGTTAAAGCCGGTGAGGTTTGGACATTAGAGCAAGCACCAAACAGTGACAGCTTGTCCATAAGTATATCCATATATAGGTAAATGGGGCAGCCCCTTTTCGCTGCGTAGATGAGCATGCATGTGGCAGGAGCCTTGATTGTTTCGAGGAATCCCAAGACGAAAGAGTCCTGCATGGCTTGAGCATATTCTCAATCACCATGCATGTCGACATGCACATGCACATGATAAGATCCCATCATGGCCGAGGAGGAGGAGAGACTTATGAGACTTACACTCATATTCCTCGACTTTGAAATCTTATGCGATGGAATAGGTCGACATCTTTGTACTGACCTTCTCTTCCGGACCTTCATTCTGGTCCTAAACTTGAACCTCGGCGACGATTTCGGGGATCTCCATCCGTGCACTTTTGCATCCGCCGTCAATTGTTGAACTCTCACCGTCCGTCATCTGGAAGGGGAGGAGGTGCGGGAATCTCTGGAAAGGCTTATTGACATTCCCTCCGAATTCCCGCATCACATCGAATTGAAACTAATCGGTGGTCATAGCTAGACGTCTCCTCCCCGCCATGTGGACATCATCAGCTGGAGACCATCACATTATTTTGTCAGGGGGTGGATTCCCTGGCCTCATCCATAGCCCCGTCTCCATCACTTTAGCGATCCCTAATGCCAAATCTTCCGAGATTCCCTCCATCCCCTCACTCAAAAACCGTAACGATTAAGTAATAGAGTATACCTATATGCTTTCCCAGCAACACGCCGTGGATTGGAATACCTCTCTCCAATTCGTCCTCAGATTTCAGATATACTTGAACGACACCATTGTTCCATTCTCCCGAGCTAATCAAGATATTCACTTGCCTCACCGGGTTGAAGATCGGCACCCTTCTGCTTCGGCTGTACTGATGTAGCTAATGACTCAGAGAGAGGAATAGCTTATGTAAGCGTTGCACAGCAATCCACCACCCCTGCCCGGCGTACAATAGATGAGTATGTGGCGAGAGCCTTGGTCACATCGCGATGGTACTGAACACATGAAAGGCTATTGGCGTGATCTGTATCTTAAAGCACCCCAAGACGGGGTCCTGCAAGACTTAAGCCTATTCTTTGATGGGCTCCACAATGAAGGCGTGAGTCAGGTAGATGGGGCTCAGGTGCGCGCAGTTTGGTTGCATGACCTCAACACTCAATCAATGTGCCTACGTGATAGGATCCCACAAAGCCTTCTCATCTTCTTGGAGTACCATACGAGATTGCGCATCACATCTTCACATTCCTCGACTTTGAAACCTTACGCGATGGCATGAGCCTCACAAGCCGCAACATTCGACATGCTTGCGTCGATATTCTTTTCCGGGCTTTCAAATATCGTGCTGTGCTCTGCAGCGACGATTTCGGGGATCTCCATCAGTTCACGAATACCTCTTCGGTATCCTTTGTCAAGCATATAACTCTCCGGGTCACTGGCCCCCGCTCTATTCGTCACGCGAAAGGGGGAGAAGCGCGGAGATCTCTCGAAACGCTAATAGATATCCTTTCCAAATTCCCACATCTCATCGAGTTGAAGCTGGCTGGTGTTCACAAACTTCTCCTGGAGAATTCCCCCACCGTGTGGACCTCCTTCGGACATCACCAGCTTGAAAGCCTTACGTTATCTATGCATGACGATATCACACAATCAAAGTGGGGACGTTTTTTGGCCTCGCAGCCCTGTCTTCAACACTTAGCGATCTCCAATGCCAAAAATTTTGATATTCCCCCATCCCCTCACTCAAAACCCTGGAGATTAATCGGGTCTTGGGGAATATCTGCTTTCCCGACGACATGTTCACTCTACATGCATTGGAATACCTCTCCGTCGACGGCGTCGCCAGACTCTCCTTGTCAGACCTACCATCGTTAAAAAGACTGGATTGTCACTCGGTCAGCACATTGATCACACATTCGACACTCCCAAATCTTAAGGACGTTTGTTTGAGCGGGATAGACCATTTCATTTCCCCTCCAACTCCGTTCCCTTCCTTGTCGCGAATCTGGGTAGGGGGTGCACAGCAGCTCCTTGCACGCGGATGCACAACACTCCATTCCGTGGCATTGCGCTACAACTACGGGGTTCCACCTGATCTGGACGTGCTAAAGGATTCTGCATCGTCACTACGTTACCTCATCTATGAAATCCCCGAGCTACAAGACGAGGTCCCGCCGTCCTACTATCGAATTACCAAAACATTCACTTATCTCACTGGTTTGAAGGTCCGATTCAGCTTTGCTCCGCTTCGGCTATGCTGGCCCTCTTCCGAGAAGAGGTGCCCTATCAGCTCCTTACTCGACCTTTTGCAATCATTAAAGTACCTTACGATAATTGACTGGAATGTCGAAATATTGCGTGTGGACCCTCACCTTCCCGACGACCCCCAGTCCGATCGGACGAGACAGGAGGTTGTAGATTGGCTCGATAACTTCGCAATGGACTGTATGAGCGCCGGTCCCTCGCTCCTCGATGCCAACTTCAGTTGTCATGAATACGTCAGTCTCTGGGCCCCCCAGATCTTTGAAGATCTATACTGGAGGAGAACGCATACCAGGTCCTCCGTCAAACAACCTTTTCAGAGGGGGGCTTCGAATGTGGCCTGGATCGAAGGCACGTTCTTTAGGCGGTAACTGCACCCCAGCTAAGCGGGGACGCTGAGACAAACAATAAATACAAGGTTTTTCCACGCTTCACCGTTGCTGCTACCCACTCGCCAATGCGCAGGAATTCTACAGTATTTGTCTGTCCTCCAGTGCTTGCCAGGGTGATACATTAGTTTACATGAATCAGTTAACAAGATATTTAACAAGAAATCAGACGAATGTTATCTCGCCTCAGTCTTGCTGTACGTGAACTGAGGAAAGTCGTGAAAAATTTTCGCTCTGTGAGCAACGCACTTTCCATAGTGCACGGCGATACTCAGAGAAAGGAATCATGACGCCGCAACCTCAGCATCGTGAGTTATCAGCGTATGTCGATACTAAGACTTCAAACAATCTTCTATCTGCGTACCCCTACCAACGACCCAATGGACGTTAACACTATCCCTGTGTTGGTCGATGCGTTGACTCGGGCCGCCTCTGTCATTGTCTCAATATTGGGAACGAGTCGGATAAGGCAAAAGAAGAGGTTGATGTACCTGAATCAAAATGTGCGGAAAGGATCGATAATTGCATTTCTTGGCGAGTGTTTTCGCGAACGTCAGTGTGTGATACAAAGTCATCAGCACACATGCAATTTTATCCTTGGAAGTATCCCAGTAGCCGGATAAATCTTCCTGACTCCTGCGCCCTCAGAAATTGGGGAGCGCGATAAAGACTCAGAGCAACTTTAGATTACCCCCTCTAAGCAAACTCGTCACATTTTATAGAACACCCAAACATAATTCGTCCAAAGGGTATCGTGTGGATGATTAACGGTGCCACACCAACAACGAATTTAATTACGCACCCAATCTTCGAACGGGGGCTTACAATTCCTCCCTCCAACAAAGCAACAAAGAGGTATGAATCAGACCCCCCTCCCCTCCTCATGTCGAAACTCTATTGCTTCTGTGCAACCACACGTAAGGGATAGAATATCAACTCTGTTCACATCAGGGATTGAGTGGATGTTGTGTGATGGGACGTTTTGAGGCGCTTTGGCGCCTTTGTCAACACTAAACTCCTTTCTACGACGGCGTTGCCACTCAGCATACGACGCGTATATAAGGGAGAAATATTTTGGACATTCCACCTCGGATCTCTTATTCGAGTCTGAGTCTAACGCGACATAGTCCTAATTCTAATAGGGATTACGTCCGAGAAAATGATGTATATTTGGTTGTGAGGGCGTTACACCTGATTGAGACTGACGAAAGAGTGGGAGTGCATATACTCAGACTTGTGGATTGACAGGAGCGATGAGGATGAGAAAGTGATAGAGATCTAAACCCATTTTCATTACATATCGAGCTCACCTATGCCGATCAAAAAAGTTTCATCGACGATTTCTCCCGGGAGACCCTAGGATTCAAAGAACGGAGCACAGGGTGGAGGAGAGGTAGGCCTCACCTCTATGACTTCGCAATATTAACCAGAGGCTCGTTGTCACGTGGCAGTGCGGCTATCCCCGTCGCACAACGGCCCCCTAACAATCTGTAGAAGAAGTGGCTACTCGGCGCAAGCGGACATCTGTCTGTTCCATCGACGACCAACGATCTTGCTCATCTTGCAAGAGGACAAATGTATATAACCTGAATCGCAGAACAGAAAGCGATAGTGGCATTTTAGAATATCGTAGCCCCCCCCCCTTGATGCGACGACTATTCCCTTCATTACCATGGCTCGCACCCGACCCACTTTCTGTCTGGTTTCGTTCACTGAAGTGCTCAGCGATGTAGTCATATATGGCGAGTACCCCGACACCCCAACTCGAGTCTTGAGGCGTGTCACAGTTTTGGGAATGCCTGTATCTTCACTGGACGGCCAGGCCCCAAAGAGGTACGGCACCTCAAGACGCGAGTCCTAATTTTGGGGTACCGGCCCGCCTGGGTCGCACTGATGGGCGAGAGTGAGTCGGGTTCCAACCATTGTGATATATACATGGGATAGTTATGACATTAAGCCCAGGACGCTTCGCAGTCCGCCGCACTATATTATTATGTTGGAACGTTGCGATCGCTTCTCCAATGACTTGTGATTCTGGATTCATCTTGTTATAGAGGGTCTTGTTCTCTTGTAAAACGAGCAAGGCCCTTGATTGTCAATGTCTTCAAACCGTTGGGTTCCAAATCGCCTCCCGACTTTGCGGATCGAATAAGCTTGGCTATTGTCTGCCTTTCAGCTAATCGAAAGAGCAGCCAAAAAGAGCACCATCACCACAACGAGCGTGATTATCTGGAACGTTTTTTGTCTCGCTTGATGGTAGTGCACACGCGTCTGAGTCTCTAACACCAGCGCAAGGAGAACTGGGAAAAGAAGGAACGAACGGAATGGCGGTTATATATACCGAGAGCGAGACAAGAGAAGGAAAATGATGATTGAATGTTTTTAAGACACCGCCGTGCGCCTCAGGGGGCTTTAAATTAGCGTTATGGTTTTGGGGACCAACATGGTCCAGTTGGGGGACAAAAGGGGAAAGAAGCCTTGAGCGACATGGATTTCTACGTCACAACATGACGTTGTCCTGATGAAATGCTGCGCCTCGCCCTCAACTGCATCACCAAATACCAGGAACGGTACAAAGCTCGCCGTATGAATAAGACAAGGGTTCGAGGGCGAAGTGTGTGTAATCTGTGGTCTCGTTACGATTCCGTGGTGCATGATGGCACCGGAGTGCCAGGTACGCAGAGACGTCGATACATTTGGGGAAGGCGCGTAGTAAACTCACAACCAGTTTGTTAATGCGGCGTGCAACACGCAATGTGGCTCAGCTTGTTCGGTCGCTTGAGTCATCACCAGGCAGATGCAAAAGCTCAGACACGAGTTGCGAAGCAGCAGTCCCTCCAACTGTTCGCCGGGATGATCTTCCCGGACGATGACTCATTGTGGTGCTCTGTGACGTAGTTGTCAACTATATGGTCGCTCATTCAATTAGTTTCCTGTTCTCTACGCTATTGAACCTGAGACCGAGCCACGGACTTAGCATCAATTCGCTCATCATATCCTGCACAAAATGCCCATTCTCTTTACTTCCCATATGTAAGACATGAATGGTTGTATGACGAGAGCTACGATGTGCACGGCTTAGCCGGTGATGGAAGTACGTTTAGTCGACCGATTACCACTCGGACTCCGCTAACTAGGATACCGCAGCCTATTGGATTCCAATGCAGGGCACGGGTGGAAATTTTGAGTGTATGTATCGTAGTGCAGATTGAATCATTACGCTGTGAACCGGCGATGGAGTACCACCCTATTAAACTGACCATGACGAAGTGCCAATCATTGATATTCACTGTACCGCAAGTTCGTACCAGGATGGGATACTGGCCCACGATCGAGTAGTTCATTCTGTCCATGATGTGGAAGGTGACGGAAACGACAGAACAAGTCTACACATTCTCTCCAGATGGACATACCATCGGGATAGGCAGTTGAAAACAGAGCAGAGGGGCATCTACTTCTGACTCATGCCTCAATGCATGGTTCGGTACCGTAAACACCTACATAGTGCAGTACAAACCAGGTTTTCGTGCTAAGGGAGCAGAAGGAAATGGTAGAGGCGATGTGCGTGTTGATCAATTGAATAAGGGGAAGCGGACACAGCCAGGGAACAGAGTGTCATATATAGTAGTCAGCATTCAAAATGTGACACTGACACGATCCGAGATTGAGAGGACCCTGGGCAATTTGATATTTAGGCAAGACGGTGAGAATCATTTGCAGAGTGGCGGGAATGACTCTAATGAGTACATATGTGGCAAGAGCCTTGGTCACACAGCGATGATGGTACTGGAAATTACCCGCTCCGCGCCTTGAGACGCTTCACTACCAAGGTTGCGAGTTTGATCTAGGTCACCACGGCGCCCCGCAGCTAAGCAACGAGCTCCTCTTACACTGACCATTGAACGTCTGAATCACACTTGTGCAAGCGGAGATGGGTAAATTATAAAGCAGGAATGGCAAAATACAATAATGCCCAGCTTCTCAATTACTTACTTACATAAGTGCATTGCAAGGAAAAGGTACCCCTAAGTAAACTACATCAATTATCGGCCATTTCGCCGAATTGTGTTTTTCCGGATCCCGAACGACAGATATGGATACGTTGCGGCCTCACAACAGTATGTACATAATTGTCCAAATATTTTGTTGTCGGTTGACTGCGTTCTGGTATCGTGGCGGCCACTGCTTACATCATACGCATGTTGAAGCTACTCTTGATACCCGCGCATTCGGAGCCGGACAGCTGCCAGATGAGAGGAAGCTTCCTCTCATCTGGCCGCCGTACTTGCCAAGAATTTCTGGTTGAGAGACAGCTCGGCAACTCATTTTCTTTTCATCAAACAATATACTTACTCGGATCAAGGACCATGCTACAGATCTTGGGCTCCGTAGCACTTAACGACCTAAGTTTATACAGGAAAGCAGTGAAATGAATCTCTAAGGCAACATTCCCCTCTTTTGTCTCTCCTTAGGACTCACCATGAAGCTCCTCGCTGTCGCCGCTCTTTTGGCTTGCATCGCCTCTACTTCTGCCATCACAATTACCTTCAATAATAAATGTTCTTACAGTGCGACTCTCTTGAATGCTTCGGCTTGCCCATGTTGCTGACTAAAGGACTCATTCGATAGCTGTCTGGCCTGCGATTGGGAAAGCTCCCAACGGTCAGCCGGACCCATCCGTCTCCTTTGGAACAACTCTCGATCCTGGTGGCGAAGCCAGCTTTTCAATTTCGGATTATGAAATCGGTATTCGCGCCTGGGGCCGTACTGGGTGCGACCACGATGGTGCGAATTGCGAGACCGGTAGCTGCGAAGGAGGTTCGTATTCTTGACCGCCGATGAGTTCAAAGACTGATCTGTGCTTGCAAAAGGTCTCGTATGCACGGATGCTGGTATCACCTCAGACGTACTCCTCTCCGAGTATGGGTATGGAGACTTTGGCCGGTGGGGTGGTAAGAGGACCTCGTGGGATCTCGCTCGCAGTAACAGTACGTGCGGTGCCACTTTTCCTTGCGGCATGGCGATCGATTATCCTTGTTCCTAGATGTCAACATTCCTACCCGACTTGACTCCTCCGATGGCCAATCTGTCACATGCCTCGACATGAGTTGCCCTGATAATCAGGCCTACTCATACTCCACTGATTACGCCGCTGACCGCAACTCACCGCTTGGCCAGACATACACCCATGTCTTCTGCCCCTGAATTGATAAGGCCCTAGAGAAATTGTAATATATATATATACCGCATATCATACACTATACATATATGGTCTTTTTCAGCTAGCATGTTTGACACCTTGTTCACATCGCTGAGTGGAATTTCGTACTTGTAGGTTGAACAAGTCAAACTCAGAGCGCATGAAAATATGCGGGTCTGCCTGCTGCTGCCAGACACCCATCTTTTGTCTTTTGTCAGATCGACGTCGAAAAGTTATGCGAATGATCTGCTCGGAAGCGAAGTGCAGTCCAATGAAATGTCCCCACATGCACAATTCAATTCCAAACCTTATAGCTTAAAGGCCTTCCAGCTCCACGGCACCCCCTGCCTGACCTCGTTACTGCACCTCGATGGCCCACCAAGCTACAGACCTCGCCCGTAACTACGGTTCCATATCTTCTTCCAGCGAGCATGCCCCCGCCGTGCCCCTCAGACGCTCCAACGTCAATTCCAATGGCCATACCAACACCACTGCCGAGCCGCTGTGGGCTCTGACTTCTCACAATGACGAGCTTGCACCTCTGGCTGCGAAATGCGATAAGCATAACGAATCCAGAGACGTGTGCTGCAAAACTCTCAAGGGGGACGATGAACGCATGCTCATCGATCCAGACGTCGTCCGCGATATGTAAGCATAGCTTCAACCTAGCGTTCGATATGCAATGATCTGACAAGCTAGTATATGCTGCTAACTTAGAATCATTGGTCTTTCGGATGGTCTCACTGTTCCGTTCGCCCTTACGGCTGGTTTGTCATCCATTGGCGACTCTCGTATCGTCGTCATTGGAGGTGTGGCAGAGCTCATCGCAGGTGCAATATCCATGGGAATCGGCGGGTTTTGTGAGTAAAGAGTTTGTTATATCTCTCCACTTTCCGCGCACAAGGCCCGCTTCCCTCGATAACTTATAATTCAATTCTTCCATTCCCTTCATTCATTTTCTTCATTTCCATCCACAAACCCATTTAGACCTCATCTTATCATTACTTCCTATCACTAACTAAACCTTCCCGCCCAATTATTGCTCATAGTGGCGTCCCAAGCGGAGCGCGACCATTTCTATTACCTCCGCAAGCGAACCCGGCATCGCGTTCAGCGATCATGTGCCGGAGAGATGGAGCGAGAAGTTCACACCGTACTAGGCCCAGTTGGCGTGAACGAAAAGATCAGCCGACAACTTGCGGATGACCTATTGGCGTTGGAAGATCAGCAAACTCGTGAGGCCATTGAATATGCTCGGACACACCCCGAGAGTGTAGTACCAAAGAAGTCGTGGTGGAGATTCAACTCATCGATGACCGATACTGAAAGCGGTCCGAAGTGGAATTCAGACGTCGGTTTGACGGCTTTCTTGCTGAAATTCGGCGAGGGGATGGGTGAGTTTGCGAACGTGGCATCTTTGCTGGTCGGATTCTTTATTTAATCACATCCTTCCTTTTCTCAGAGGAAGTCCCAACGGCCCGGCTTTACATCTCAGCGTTCACGATCGGCATGGGGTGAGCATTGTTTTACACATCAGCAGTCCCTCGATCTCTCAGCAGCGTAAATTTCAATGCAGATATTTTATTGGTGGACTCATCCCGCTCCTTCCTTACTTTTTCATTAATGTCGCTCAGGTTGCTTTGATTTACTCTTGCGTCAGTCACCCTTCTTTCGTCTTGCTCTATTTCGGGCCTTTACTCACTCCCCGTGGATCTCAGATCATAACGGGGATCGTCTTGCTCATCTTTGGAGCTATCAAGCAGCACTTCACTGGTGGGAAGGGTGGTTTCTCAGGATATGCTTGGGGAGCGTTTAGCACGCTCTTCGTTGGAGGTGTTGCAGCTGGTGCTGCATTCGCCATCGTCAGAGCTTTGGAAGCTTAGAACGACAACCAAAAAATGCAACTTATGCGCTCTCATCAATATATTGTACCTCACCTTGTATAGATCATGCAGCGTTCTTTCAATTTTAATGATATGCTCTGTTATTACACCAAAGCGAAACAGTGCTTTGTTAGTACACTTTACAACCTTTCAAAAAAGTAGAGATAAGCTAATGGCATCAAAGATTTGACACTCTCCTCGTCAGCTTTGACTACTTTCTCGTCGTTGAACAACACCCAAGAGTCTCCATCTGCCGCACCAAGTCCTGGTTCACGAATATGGGCCACGTAATGCCCAGAGTGAACGGAAGGACCCTTGTGGGAAATGAACGCTTTCAGTCGGTAATTTGCTGGAAGATCAACAGTGCCTCCCGGAACGTTCTTCGTGCTAGAAGTCACATCAGCACCACCGAGTGGTGTTGAATCTTCGCCTGTGTCATCAGGGTGACTGAACAGCCAGTCGATCGCTCGTTCGGTGCTTCCACCCTAGAGAGCATGGGAAACGAGCCAAAGCCATTCCGATTAGAAGGAACCAAAGTGGAATTGAAGAATCACCTACCGTTTCCCTCAAAGCTTTTCGCGCCTGCTTCTCTGTGAAACCCATGTCTGCGATCAAAGCAATTGACTCGGGGGCTGGTTCAGGACCGCTCGCACCGCCCCCACTGCTCTGAACTGGTATCGGATCATCAATGTCTGTTGAGTGCGAACGGTCAGTATGAATTCCGCGAAGCGGGATGATAATTAATACCGGGATCGTCCATATGTGCAAAGAGCCATTCCATTGCGGCCTCTCCATCCTGATTCCCCGTCGCTAACAACGCCTTTTGGCATCTAATAAGTGGGAAGCCCATCGATTCGAGCATAGACAGCGCCCCTTCATTGTATGTTGGCTGGTTGGTAGTCGCACCTGAAGATGATTCTGCATGCATTGGTGGAGGCTCAGTCGAAGCGTATTTTCGATGGGAAGACCGATAAGCTTTTTGTTCACCTTTGGGAAGAGGCTCCTCTCCCGGCTGAATTCCATGCCCGAGATACTTGTCCAGCGTGATGTTCCCCGATGATGGGAGTTGAACGGGAATGGCTTATGAACCATTTAGTTAGCGTACGATAGCGACTCATTTCGAATCCTCACCTAATTTCTGAGGCACCCAGTTGACGAGTTGAAATTTCTTCGCGTGCACGACCAGTACTTGGGGAAAAGTTGCAAAGCTACTCTTTCTGCGATGGAGTCCGCAGCAATGAGCCCCCATAGATTCCTAGGGCAATCAACAGCAACAACCTACTTATTAGCGATCACATTCTTCGAACAAGCAGGACATCTCCACTCCAGTGCTTCGGTAGCGGTCAAAAGGTTCAGACACTCCTCAAACAACACATCCTCGTATTGAACGTTCGCTGCCTCTTCCCCGACAGCTTTCTTTTCTCTTGCTGGTACGGCCACGCTCACGACGTCATGTTCATCCACCCGATAGCTCACCCTTTTGCAGTCCCCACATTGGAGTCGCTGCTCCATTCCATAATTGAAAACTTCGGTAGGATCCTGAGCGTGCCCTCTTTTCTTATAGCCTTGGCGAAGGACCTTAATGAGATGCGTAAGAAATTCTTCTGAATCTTGTTGACGCATCGTGGAGAACTCAGAATGCCCTTTCCCTATAAGGGCTTTGAACATGGCCGGCTTTATTCCCTCCTGGAAGACTGGTTGTAGAGCACCTGCAGGGATGGAAGCATCCGAATTCGGAATCGGAGCCTCAGATATCTGCGCGGGGAGCGCAGAGGAAGGGGATTTTCGCGGGTGGGAATACCTCCCAGAGAGAAGACCATCAGCAAGCTTGTACAATTGGCATTCTAGGCAATCTGCGGGAGAGTCGTATGCGCAATTCTGGAAGTGTTGCTGTGCAGCTGAATCTAGGGTAGAAGAGTCGGAAGTAATGTAATATCGGGAGCGGAAGGAGGGAAGTGAAAACAGGGTTTGAACTGTTGAAGCCATGTAGCAGCTGTTGCCCAGATTCGAGAGTCCTGTCAAGCCAGGCCCGAACAAAGGCTCAAAAAATTTTCCGTCCTCTCCAGTCATGCTAAAGTCAAACTTCAAGTTCTGCTCTATTTGCTGAACACGGAAAGGGTTAAATTCAAGAAAGGAGGCGAGGGCAACGGAGAGTTTACCAATTCAGTGATAGTTTTCTCCGTCTTAACCTGAGATTGGATGTTAATACCGAAAGCTGACAAATGCAACGCTATTTCGGGGTCCAGCTTGGAGTCGTTGCATGCATAGCAGTAAATGTCTGGGGCGACATCATCGGTCTGGAGAAATAAAGTCTGGACGAGGAGGATAAACGTACCTGCATTCCCCTCAGCGGTGATCGTCCCTAGTTTGACTGCGACAGGATGAGATGTTTCCTCCCAATGCTTCAACCCGTGTCCATGGCCTCCCAGTCCACCAAACTGCTGTCTCCCACAACCCAACGAACCACAGGTTAAGCATAACCACAAATTCTCCGTCAGCTCACATAAAAGACAATGGGCTAGCCCGAAGCTTCAATATGTGTCGGTGTCGGGGTTTGTTGGAGCGTAAGCGTGTGTTCACATGCTACGATTTCTTCTTCCCAGGCTTTGACTTCGGATTGACGAGCGGAAGACATAGAAGACATGATTCCGTCAATCAGGGACTTCACTTTTATGTTTTCAGAGGCTTCAGGAATGAGTACACCGTTTTCTGTATCATCTATCCACGAGCGGAGAGTAGTACTCCAAGTGTATTTATCCTCTTCGCGCTCTTCCAGTATCGCTATGCGCTTGAGCGGCGGTTCTTGATCATCCTATGAACCCAGAAAATAATTGTATGCCTAACAATTGGAGTCAAATATGGCATACTCTTCTAGGTTTTGCGTGTCTTTGGATATTCAACGACAACGGATGGCCAAATTTCTTCGCGTGAATTGTGGCATGGCGCCTCTTCTGATCCACACATCCTCCATTGAAACATGTAAGGCACACATCCACCCCTCCCTGCCCGTCCTGTCTCGGCCGTAATTTTTAGATTAGGTGAGGAAGCCCAGCGTCGATCGAGGGAAAGCAATGCAATGATCAGCGTATCTAAATATTCAACAGTTCGGAGAGAGCGTACCTGAGAATCAAAGCATTGGGTGCACTCCTCGCGGTGGACCGCTTGAGAGAGCCTTGGTGAGCTGAGGGGAACAATCGCCTTGATCCATGACATTGTGCCGCCGATCTGGGTAAGGCTAGTTAGGGAGCAACTTCCCACGATCCGCACGTGAACAAGCTCTGTGAGAATCTGGCTGAAAAAGGAAAGAGGAAATGGAGGAAAGGTGAAAAGTATAGTAGAGAATGCAGTATGGGATGTTTCATTTTCTCTATGCTTTGTTTTGGTTTAGTGTTTAACGGTCCAACGAAGATGGCTTCTGGCATCAGTGCTCTGTATTGTCAGGGTCAAACGTGGGATGTGGGTTGCAACATGAAATAGAAAATAAATCAGGTTAGCTGACTGGCTCATTCCATGTCCAATGGGACGCGCTTTCCATCACTCTCAACAACGACTTCTGCAACTGCACCTCTCACCGTTTGTGACCACTGTCAGTCCAAGTGGCAGGCCCCCGGGTTTTCATCCATCCTTCACTCCCATTTCGACCCCGGACTTTGACCTCTGGACGTTGTTCTGATGCATGGCATTCCAGCGGTTGAATGTAGTCCCCTGATAATTATAATGAAATTGAACTAGACACATCGGTCATCAACACAAACAGTCACGAACGCCAACTGCACAATGGAAGCTTGATTAGCACCGAGAACAAGCTCATTTAAAATAGATTGATGAACTGCCCACTGCGACCATTTTATACCTTCACGCTCCAACAAATCTCGTCATACTAGATTGCTCGCCTAACCTGCATGCATTGAAGAACGGATTGCATTTCAAGAACTGGCTTTGCATGTACAGCGCGGAGCGAACATACGGTGATGCTTTGTTGTGTAGTACATAGACGCCACCGGGCCTGAGTGAGGCGAGTGAAGATAATGTGAAATAGTGGGGGAAGGCATTGTCAATCAAGTTGCTTGCATGAGAACCTAAACTAGGCGTAGAAGTTAGAACACGATTGATGTGCACAATGTGCCATTGCCGCAGGGTCACCGATTGGCCGTTCAAAGTCACAGACCACGTTCGCGGGGGAAGGAGATGGGCTTAAGCAACGTACACCGGAGGGTCTAGCTTGAGATATCTGGCCTCTTTCAGCGCTCGGACTTCACAAGACTGTGATACCGTTCAAAAGAATACTTGCGCGGGGTAATGGGACATACAGCAGAACGGAAGGATCCAGTTACTAGATGAATTGATCACCGATCGCGGAAACAACTCCGGTGATGTCCCAAGCCGTGGGTGACGTCACGGGCAATCGGATTGGCTCGTACAAGTCATTAATCTCTCGTTGACGACATTAGGTTGGGAAAATAGCAAAAAGAAAAGATAAAACTGCAGCACTCAGGATTCCCATGTAGTCCCCTACCATGGTACTAACTAAGCGGTACACGGCTTAACTTCGCAGATCGGACGGGATGCGGTGTTTTCCGAGTCCTATGGCCGCAGATGGGATAATCCGTATTCCCACGTTTGATAAACCTCTATATCGGTTGTGGCAGTCCGTCATTAATGGAGCGTGGGTGCGGTCTTAGCTGAGACAGAGGAGGGTTGGAATTCGGCTGGGGAGAGAGAGAACCGTTGACCTATATATAGATGCATGCTTTTCAATCCACTTGCCTTCCCCGCCAGTATAGATATTCATCAGACGTGGAAATACGGATTATGCCATCTGCGGCCATAGGACTCGGGAAGCGCCGCATTCCGTCTGATCTGCGAAGTTAAGCCGAGTGCCGCTCAGTCCCCTACCATGGTAGGGGACTATGTGGGAATCCTGAGTGGTGCGGTTTTATTTTTTCCTTTTGCTACTTCTTTCTCCCTTGTCAGAATAAATACGTAACATTTCTCGCATCCTGAGTGGACAAAGCCGCTAGCCAAAAATATTCTTACAGCGGCTCGAGAAAATGCACGTCAGCGCTTTGCTTATCTTCTCCTCACTCGGCATCGCGAACTCCATTTCTGGAGTTATCGCAAACTCAAATGTTCATGAACGGACCAGTGGTACGAGGGAGGTTCGGTTGTGGGATCATCGATCCAAAGCACCAAACTGTCCCAAGACTGCCCACACGGAGAGTCTGTCGAATAGCACATTGTACCTGTGGGCTATCAATGCAAAGGACGGGTATTCTTACCCTGAGTGCTGGGCTATGCAAGTTCGTTCCTCATTTCAATCTGGGCAATGAAACGATAGAGCTAATCTACACCACTTTCAGCCCAATTTCACTATTCCTCACCTGGCAGGCTTGGAGGGGACTCTAGGTTTAAGTTTGGGTAACGGCTCAGCCGTGGGATACAATAGGTGGACGAAGGCTTTAAATTCTTCCCTTCATGGACCCCCCGCAAACCAGTGAGTTTGGACTGACCTCCACAATTGCAACCCAACCCGACGGGTAGTTTGTTTCACCAGATATGTTATGATCCTCACTGGCTCTGTGCTGGTGCACTTCCCCAATGTTACGGATATAGTAAGGCTGGTCGCAGGCCAAATTATCATCGCCATCGACATCGTACGTTGGTTTTGGCGTCAGATCTGCGCCATCTTATCCATCCTCACATTTTTAGTCTTCCGTCTCCTCTGGACATTATAGTGACTGGGCCGCGGTAAGCAGGCTCCTTTGGCCCGATCTCGTGGTGTTGGCTGCACTGACCCTTCTATTATAGGGAGCCTCGGCGATATCGGTTCAGTTCCAAAATGGTTTGATACCAGCCCATTCTGTCGTCAACTCGTCCTATTGCGGGTAACTTTGATCGGTAGTGGTCGTGTATACATCTTATGGAGGGTGCTGCTGTCGCTACATTTTGTTTGTCATGGAGGCTGGAGTCTTGCCTGTCGCTATATAGTACTACACAGATTTCCTGAACACAGATCAGGCACGGGCCTGCACTGCTATTTCAATAGGTCGTATCTCGAATTCCGTATACAGCTGGTGGGGGCTCCAGTAACCTCAGAGGTGATATAGAAAAATATAGTGTTATGCCCCGAAGGGGCCTTTGTTGGACCAGATGAGAGTAGTTAGAATTTTTTAGGGTAAACAACTGTAAATACATGCTCGAGGTTGTCCTTCCAACAGGTGAAGCGTGGTTGCCTCCAGCAAGCGCTAGGCGCTCGAGGATTTGACATGTGATTTGAATTTGCAACTAGTCCATTCAAAGCAGTTATTCAAAAAGGTCGACTTGGAGCCATCATGTCAGTTCCACATCACCATCATCGACCAACTCTCAAGCAGGTACGGGGGGTGCGATAGAGCTTCAATGCTATTCCCCTGAATTTTTTCTTGTGCGTTAGCAAAACAAATCTTTTAAATCACGACATAAAACGAAGGGTCAGCTCAAGGCTTTATCGAAAGGTAATAGCCCTCTGTGTGTCTACACAACCAATTCGCCTTCATTGCATTATTCTTACCTTTTTTGGATTTCTACCCTCAGGCCGGGCTGTACGCCAATCTGCCAAAGCGTCGCAAAACCCTCAGAGTGCCGCAGCGCAGCTCCGCGCGGACCGACGCATCCAGTCAAAACATTTGCAAGCGAAAAAACGAGCTGAGATTGTTGAGGCGGGTCGGGTTTTTTCTGGTCCCGATGCGGCTCCCAGAGTGGTAGCAATCATCCCTTTGTGCGAGGATGTCAATGCTGTGGGGGTTTTGACTGCCTTATTGAGCCCATTGGACTTGGGGGAGGAAATCCTCGGAGAAATACCGCAAACTGGCTTGTGGAAAGTGAAGTAAAGCATCCGACGTTGATTCCCTTGTTAGTCGCTAACATGTCCCCCAAGAATTCCTCGATTCAAAACGTCCCTTCAAACCTTACTCCTACCATACCACTCATTCTACGCCGCACTCGACGCGACCAAGGCTGCTGACTACGTTATTTTTGTCCTGTCGACCCAAGTCGAAGTGGATGATTGGGGTGACACGCTACTTCGAAGCTTGCAAGCGCAGGGCTTGCCCACAATTGTAACTGTTGCCGCCGATGTCAGTAAGAGTTTTCCTTTACACCCGCCTATTCGTTCAAAATTGTAGAAGACTCATTGTGCCCGAACAGTCCTCGTCCACAACACCCTCGTCATCCTTCAAGAAGGACCGTTCCCTCGTTATAAAATCCCTCCTTTCTTTTATTCAATACTTCTTCCCATCTCAGCACCGCGTACACGACCTTGGTCCCGCCTGCGTTCCCTCTGAAAATTCTTTATTGTCTTCCCTCAACCAGAATGAATGCCTCAATGCGCTCCGCAGTCTATGCGAGGGTCTGCCAGCGAACGCGAGGTGGCGAGATGGCCGAATGTGGCTTGTTGCGGATGCCAATGAAGGGTATGGCTCCAGCATCCCTTCACTATCCTGGGAGCCAAATTTGCAAGAGACAGGTGCAGCCGAACACGATGACGGGGAGCCACGCGGGACTCTGAGTGTAATTGGGACCATCCGAGGTGCACCACTTTCTGCTAATCGTTTGATACATATTCCCAATTATGGCGACTTCCAGATTGACAAAGTGTGCCATTTGTTTGTAGTGGTCTGGGTTGATCGATTGATCATGTTTTGCTTTTAGGTCGTGGATGCCTCAGCCTCCACTCAGCGCGGGAAGAAGGCGACTACAAACTCCCAGGAGCCTGAAGTGTCATCGGAACTGACAATCCTCGCGCAGCGTTCATCCAAATCTGGCATGGATGAAGATGAGGACGTAGATGATGCTGATTCCCTTGTTTCTCGGATGGAACCCGATACGATGCAAAATGAGCAGACTTGGCCCACCGAAGAAGAAATGAATGGTGGCGTCGCAGCTCAGACTGAAGATTCTGTTAGGAAAGGTGTTAAGAAAGTTAGAGTCCCCAAGGGAACTAGCTCTTACCAAGCGGCCTGGATTGTCCACGAAGATGATGAAAACGATGTGGAAGAATGGGAAAGCGAGGATGAAAATAGCAAGGATGGTAATGAGGACGAGGTCATGGAGGACGAACCGACGGAGGCTCCTCAGTTCAATGAAGAGGAAGAAATGGAAGACATTGCCCTGGATGAAGGCAAACGTGGCGCATTTGAGGATCTTGATGCAGCCGAGGAGGAACGACAGTAAGTCCTCGTACCCTTTCGCTATTACATGTCAACGAGACGAAATCCAGGCTTGAATCGTGGCGGAAAGCACAAGCAGAATCTCGTGCTCGTCAGAAGGAGGACGAGACCGATTTGGAGTTCCCGGATGAAATTAACACACCTAAGGATATCCCTGCTCGGCAGCGATTCGCTCGTTACCGTGGATTGCGATCCTTCCGTACGAGCCCCTGGGATCCTTTCGAGAACTTGCCGTTAGATTACGCTCGGATCTTCATGCTGGAAGACTACAAGAGGATCGAGAAGAGCGTGCGACGGAAAGCGGCGGAGGAGGGTGTGGCGGTGAGGACCTTTGTTTCACTAGTTCTTTCACACTTACTGACGCTCTGGTTAGCCTGGCACAAGGGTGATTGTGTACATAAAGAATGTACCGCGATCCCTATACACCTCACAATCATCGCCTTCGTCAGCTCTCCCTCTGATTATCTTCGGGCTCTTCAAATATGAACACAAATATTCCGTCGGACACTTCTCAATCCAACGCAACACTGAGTACACAGGATCTGTGCGCTCAAAAGACCCCCTTGTTCTCTGCGTTGGCGCCCGTCGGTATCGGGTCAACCCCATTTATAGCGAGCATCGTACAGGGAAAGGCAATGGGTTATACAAGTTTGAGAGGTACCTCAGGCATAGCCATGCTACTGTCGCCAGCATATTTGGACCAATTGGGTTTGGCAAGCAGAGCTGTACCCTGCTGAGGGAAGATGCGGACCCACAAGGTAAGCAATTCTTCACTGTTCAGCGCTCTGTTGCCGGCTGAAGCTATACGCTGTGACCAGCACCCAAACTCGTTGCGACTGGCTCTTTCATTAACGCAGATCCAAAGCGAATAATTGCTAAACGCATTATCCTAACTGGGCATCCGTACAAAGTTCACAAGAAAACCGCGACCATACGATACATGTTCTTCTATCCTGGTAAGCTTTATCGAATCCCATAGATTGAATGCTATTGACCATCCTCCCTCCAAAAGAGGACGTCAAATACTTCTCCCCTGTTCAGCTTTACACCAAGTACGGACGAACTGGTCATATCACTGAATCATTGGGCACACACGGCTACTTCAAAGCCCACTTTGATCAACCCATCTTTCAGATGGATACTATCTGCCTCAACCTCTACAAGCGAGTGTTCCCGAAGTGGAGCGAGCCATGGGTAGACCCTACTGTGAGACCCAAACAATTAAAAGAGACAACATCCATGGATGTGGAAATGTAGTCATTTTCTAATCACTGAATTTTCCCTGCGCATTTTACAATACTATTCTATTGTTAATAATGTTCAACACACATTATCCTAGTCTTATTTTGTGCAAGGATAGCGGTGGTGATGTGTCATTGTTCCATGTGGTATGTTGTAGCATTAGCGTTCCGCTTCTAGTGCGATAATCATCTTCGAGCACGTAAAGGCATGTGCCAGCTGATGTGTGCAAAGTGTGTGCGGATTAGGCTATTCATGTTGAAGCCACAAAATCCTATGAGAAGGAAAACACGTTGTAGTGTGCTTGGATCCAAAATAAACTTTGGCGATGAGACACTGTTAGGGGTTTAGTGGTATGATTTGCCCTCAGGGATGAATATTAATCCAAAAAAGATGGGCGAGGTTCCGCGATCGATCTGCGGCAAGCCCCAATCATCTACAGCAGCAGCAGCAGCAGCTTAGCTAGAGCTTGTTGTTCTTGTGTTCTTGTGCCCCGCAGCCGCGTCCGTGCGTGGCAGGTCCCCCGACATGTTGACATCTGAGTGTACATGAAGGGTTCATCAGTACATGGTAAGATCGTCTAGTTGGCATGATCGGGGTGGAGTCCCTTGAGTTGCAGCGTGGTATGCAAGCTCTAGCTGCCCAGACCTGACTAAAACCCGAGTGTGGCGTATGTTATGAACTCTGGCATATTGTATGACGATTCTACAGTTGAGGGGCCTATGGAAGGGATATATGGTAGGTCTCCATGTGAAGGCAGGGAAACAATAAGACAAAGTACATGTACCTAAGCGCCGTTGAATTGCAGTAAATGGCATCCACATGACTCACCGTTATGTACGGAATATAAAACCCATGTCAGAATCTCCCAAAGAGTTACCGCCCACAGACGCGGATGGTGAAGACAAGGCCCTCGGAGTCCCGGAACCGGAACTCGTGCAAGATGGCTCACCGGAAAGGGATCAGTCTTCAGAGAAAGGAGGTGATTCACAAGCGGAACAAACCCCGTCCAAGCCTTCGGAGGCTCAAGATGTAATATCCTCTCCTGTCTACTGAGTTCCTCAGAGTGCTAACTTTTCAACGTATTGGTGTTCATACTTAAGTCACCATGGCACGCGATATATTCTCCCGCACATGGCGCTTACTATTTCTATAATACCTCCACGAATACGACAACTTGGGTGAATCCATTAGCCCCAGCGCAACCTGATACCAAGGAAGATACGAAAAGTACGTACCAGTGTTTCAGACCATCCGAGTTTCTTATTTATCGATCTGCTGCTCTGCCTCGTGTTTCTAGCCCGGACTCCCGAAGCATCAACATCTGCACCATCTTCTCAGCCCCCACCATCCCAACCCAGTTCCTCTGCAAAGCCTGCCGCTCCCACATCTGATGCCCTCGGCGGAATAGACCCCGAATTGGCATTCCTTGATCCTTCCCTTGCATACGCCGGCCCATCTGCCTCGTCCACATCCATCGTCCCTTCATTCACCGCCAAGTTCTCCGCACGCACTGGGAAATTTGCAGGCGCCTCAGCACGAGATCCATCCCATGTCTCCGAGTACGAACGCGCAAAGCGCATGAGCGAGGCGTATTTTGACGTCGAGGCGTGGCAGAAAGAGGTGGCAGAAAGAGACGCAGCGAAGAAACGGGCAGCCGAAGAAGCAGAGGTGGTAGGGGAGAATCCAAATCAGAAGAGGAAACCAACCAAGGCTGATATTGTGCGTCTTATAATAATTTTGTTTTCATCGGGAACACGTTAAGCTCACGTCGCCCACCTTACTCACTCTCTTCCCATTAGGCACGGTGGAAGGAAGCTAAGAAAGAAAAGAAATCCCGGAGGACTGCATGGTTGCGGGAATGAGCCCCCTGATGTACTTAGATAACGTTAACTGTACTCTAGACCCGCCGGTCCACCACGATGGGTATGACTAATAGCATTTCAGAGCAATTTCTAATTCGCAGAAAAGATTACATAAAATGGGCATCTAACGCAGCTTCAAATTGAACGCGCAGGCTTAAGGCAGGAAAATGCTGGAGCGTAACTCTGATTTAGATCTAGTATCTGACAACTCTCGTTGAAGATGATCCATTTGGTTCGGAAGGGCATGCTGTCAATCATATTCGACATGAGTGAAACATACAAGAGATAATGGAAAGGGGATCGAATGCCAATGAAAGGAGAATTTAGATAGTCGTCTCGTAGCGGAGAGGAACGATTGTCTGTGGGAGGTTGTCGACGCCTGACACGATATGAGCAGTGCGGGGTTGGGCAGGTATACGCTTGAGTATAAGTTTCTCTGTGAAGGGTAAAGACCGAGTGTCATCAGAACAATCAAATTTAACGGAGTAAAAGAATCGGGGAATTGCCAACTTACTCGTCTCGCCATTCTTCCTGGCCTCAGCCCTCTTCTTTTCGTTCTCCTTCACACGGTTTACAAACTCCTCTCTTGACCTGGAGTGTTTAACGTGCTCAACCCGAACGCTGATTCGCTTCTCAATGTATCGATTGCCGACAATCTTGTTCACGATGACACCAACAGCTGATGGTGTTATATTGAACACAACACCCGTGTGACTGTTAAAATGCGGAGCATGCATGCATGAGAGGGACCATTTGGTAGAATGACAGCTAAGCTGACACTTACCCATGGTAGTACTTGTGGGGCATGCCCTTCTGTTGAGCCGAATTTGTCTTAATATCAACAAGATCACCCTTGCGGTAGGTGGTGAGGTACGTCGACATTTTGATAGGTCCATGCTCTGCGACACTGCTTTAGAATTTCGCATATTTGTGCATACGGCTGCAAGTTACCAACCTTTGAACCCGCGCTTGAACAGGCGGCGCGTACGTGCGCGATAACCGTATGAGTGTGGCATCTTGAGGACCTAGTTCTAAGACTTAAAAAAATATCCCAATTGACGAGGACGATGAAACCTTTACCTTAGCGTTTGGAAGGAATTGATTGGCGGGGAATACCGAGAGCAGAGATACTGTGCAGTTGGCTGTGCTACTTTCGGCTGATTTTGGAATCCGGAAGCAAAATAATTCCCTTCTACGCTTTCACCTCGTCAAGATGCCAAGGTGCGACGACCAGGACCTGCGATCTCATACTCAGCTTTGCAGCTTCTAACGTCTCTCTTTTGAATGCTTTAAGGGCCCCGAGGAATTACTCGAAGACGTTAGTTATTGTTCATCCTGCTGGAATAATTTGACAAGTCCGGACTGACAGTCTCTCAGTTATAAGGTTCCTCAACGACCTTACGAGGCCACTCGCCTCGACTACGAACTCAAGGTTTGCATTTTGCATCTGCAGTATTGCCTCAAGAAGTACTAAAGTCCGAACCCTTCATTTCGCGTGCATGCGTATAACGTCAACATCTTGTTTGTGCCATTCTCTGCATACTCGGCTTTTTTCGTCTTGTTCCGTGCATCATTGTCCACAACCTTCAGCTTGCCGGCGAGTATGGTCTTCGCAGCAAGCGCGAAATCTGGCGTATCGCCCTTACCCTATCAAAAATTCGTCGTGCCGCTCGTGAGCTCCTCAAGCTCGATGCCAAAGACGCTAAGCGTCTCTTCGAAGGCAACGCTTTGATTCGTCGACTGGTCCGTATCGGTGTACTGGACGAGAGCCGCATGCGTCTCGATTACGTGCTCGCTCTTAAGATCGAAGATTTCTTGGAGCGCAGATTACAAACTCTGGTGTTCAAGAGTGGTTTGGCGAAGAGTATTCATCATGCCCGTGTCTTAATCCGCCATCGTCACATTCGGTGAGGATAACTGCCCGCTCAATGATCCATTGACAAGTTGTACTGATTGTTGTTTAACATCCCTTAGAGTTGGTAAACAGATGGTCAACATCCCTTCATTCATCGTTCGCCTTGACTCGGCGAAGGTATGAAGTCCCTTTTTAGTCTTTGCGATGATCCCACCGTTTTGACTGGAACCATTTTGCGCAGCACATTGACTTTGCTCTCACTTCTCCATTTGGTGGAGGTCGACCCGGCCGTGTTAAGCGGAAGCGTGCCAAGCAAGCTGCTGCGAAAGAGGAAGGTGGCGATGAAGATGAGGAGTAGTTTATTCTTCCCCCATTATGATTGCCGAACAGGAGTGGCGGGGGGCAACTCCTTGTCGTGCAATAACTATTCCGCAAAAACATGTGCTACTCTAGTTCGTCATATGCATGGATCATTACCATTCTTCCTTTTACTGTACGCACCCTATGAATGCATATGCCCTGGCGTTGTGCTGCTCAATTGTTGTGCCAATTGATTCCCAAGAAACAATCGGGCTTTTACAATTTCAGTTTAGACGAGAGATAAACTCCAGGGACATTTGTCTCTGGCAGCGTTGGCTCGGACAGACGGACGTCTGCGATCACAGTGAATTACCGAACAGCCATAACATGAATAATTCACGACGAGGGGGAGGACAAGATCAAGACAGAAAGGGGGAATTCGTGTGCTGATCGTAAAGTAAGATTGGGGAATGACCGGAGAAACCGAGTCAGAAGGAGAGTGGAATGCGCAAAGGGTATGAAAAGGAATGATCAACCGAAAAATGGGCAATTAATGAGCGAAAAGGAGCTTGAAATCAGTCCAGCCATACAGTCAACGTGAGTGCGAAGGATAACCAGCGTGCACAAGAAAGAAAGAAAAAGAGGCAAGGTTCAATTCAACACCACCATCAGCTAAAGTTCCTAATCCAGTCCAAAATACCATCTACCCTCCGACCATCATCAGAATCTCTTCCACCCGAAAGTGTTCTCATCAAAGCCCTCCCCACTCTTCCACTGACAGAAAAATCATCATCTGCCTCTCCCCCTCCAGCAGGATAGTTGCCGTTGTAGTAGTGTCCACCACCACCACCACCCATTACATCCCCATTCGCCTTGTATCTCGACACAATCTTCCCATCACCATCCACCAGTTTGACATTTTTGTTAGAACACCGAGCGCTCCATGCCCGCCAGAATGTACGTTCGTCAAGCGTTACAGGCACATCCCTCACACGAGAATACAACGAGAGTGGACCAGGCGATCGCGAGCGTGTGGGAGGAGAAGATCCACGGGAAAAGGGGAGATCGTCGAAGGGTGCGTCGGAGTCAAACATCTCGGTAGGATCCGCGTCGAGTAAGTGGATAGATTGTAGACCCGGGAAAGATCGTCGCGGTTCCTTAGAGGGGTACGCGTCGCGGACAGGGGGGATCGATCCGATGAGGATGCTAAGCTCGTGGTCGATTATGCACTGTCGGCGCGTCATGTTGGGTAACATTGGCATAGATTCGTCAATCCCATCACGGAGTGCTCTACCACGCGAATGCGGACTCTCCCATGGATAATAGTGCCTAAGGGGAGATCGGGAGCGTGCAGCGGAGGTGTGCAGTTGCATGGTCGGTGAGCCAATCCCGTAGAGAATCCATCGGCGCTCAGGCCTACATCGTATAACCCAATTCGCTTGACATTAGGGTGTCTCCAGCCTGAATAACGACGACCTGTAGGTTGGTGGCTGTACGAAGAGGGTGAAAATCGCCCGTCCCGATGGACACCGAGCCAACGTGACGAAAAGATTATGTCATCCACATTAGGACACAACGCAAGAATCCGAGGGATGCTTATCCTATCCGAAGTCGGTTCCTCAAGGTCGTCGAGCTGAGCGTTCTCCGCAAAGTCGTCCCATGACATATCATCGCCAGGGCAGATGCGCAATGTAAGGACCTTAAGCTGCGCTCCAAACTTTTCAAGAAACGAAATAAGAGCTCGGATGCCTTCTGCGGAGACACTAGTTCTACCCGTGGGAGTTCGGAGGGTGAGATGCGTGAGGGAAGGGAAGCTCGCTTGTTCGGTGAGAAGAACGAAGGCAGGAACGTTTCGGGTGAAAGGAAAAGTTCGAGATTTTTCAGACAAGAGAAGGTGAGGGAAGTGTGAAGGGAAGAATCAGCAGCAAATTGGAAAGTCATACAGCGAATAGAGAGTAAATTATTCATAATGGTTGGGAACTCTTGAAGAAGCTGTATGTCCGGTCCCCCAAAAACCCATTCCAATGACTTGATGGAGGAGTTGGGCTGGAGAGATCGGAAAATGTAACCATTAGCTACTTCACGAAAACCGTATGGGGCCGCATCAATGAACACTTGGAGACGAGGACAACAGGTGACAAGTCGTCTGATGTGTGACTCGAGTACGCCCTGGAACGAGTGGAACTTGATGTGCGTTACCCACCATCCCAGACCGCAAGCCGCGAATCTCGACGCAGATTTGGAACGACTCTGATCAAGAACATCCAAAAGGAGTTCGAGTTGCCTAACGCGTCGAATGACAATATGGCGAAAGAGGAGCGTGTAGCTGTGCTTCCTCCAGTCTCTACATACTGCTGCGATGGCTTTTTTCGTCCGAAGGTTCTCGGAGAAGGCTTGGATGCTGTTTGAGGGCTGATTGGTTGGGATGTGAAAAGGGTCGCGAAGTGAGACCGCGTCGCGTACACCATGTCCAACATGTACCGGGGTATCAAAGAATCGATCGTCTTCAGTTGCGAGTTGGAATACCATAGTCCATATCTCCGGAGGGAGGCTGGAATTACGCTTGCTGTACGATAGCATAGCCATGATGACAAAAGAGAGGATTGGGAAGATGGCAGTGGGTATTTTAAGCTTTGGGGTACTTCAACAGGTGATTGGGTAACTAAGGGGCGTTGAGGTTGTGGTGAAGAAGAGCCTGCCTCCTTCAGTGGACAATAGTATTAAAGGAGATTGGTTTGCAGGGCAGGCCCTTCAATCGCAGTGTTGGAATACAAGTAGCCTGGGAAGGAGGGATAGCCCCCGATAAAGTGACCCTTGTCGCCAAAGACCAGCCTCAGTTCGCGTGCCCGGAAATACCAATGCTGATTGGAGACGTGTACACCTGTAGCATTACTATTGACTGAATTGCGACGAGGGGCCATCAAGGGGCCAACTACTGTTGAACTTGTCATTGAATGCAATTTCGACAAGCGCAGCTGAACACGTGACTGAAGATTCGGTGGCCTTGCGGCTCCGACCGGTTCCATCCCGTTATGTCTCGAACGCACGGCCTCGAACGCACGATGATTACATTCACGCCCAGTCGCTCAAGCCACCGAGGGGTCTTTACATATCCCTACTGACTGGTCCCAGTCACAAATCGCCATTAGCGACCCTCTCAGAATGCATCGCCAGAGCCGCACAAGATTGTGATGTAAAACTTCCACAACGGGTACATTACGTGTCTGCTAAGAAGTGATAAGTGAGGCCACTCGTTTCAGGCTTGCAACGCACGTACTTCCTTAGCGGCAGACGAGCTGACCGCACGAGCGGTCCCCCAGATTTGAAGAATCGCGCGCCACTCCGCTCTGTTCTATCATCAGCCACAAACAGCCACCCGCAACAAACAAAGTGGATATGGCACGCGCGGTCGCAGTGCATCTTTCACCCCATCGTAACCGACAACAAGGTGATTCCTCAATCACGCTCCCACGTGGTGGCCAGATCGATCTTCCTCTCCCGGATGCAGCTTTAATTAGTGTATACGGAGAAAATTCCCTGGATTCTTGTTTTCTAATAGCCATTTCGAGCCTCCTGAGTCAATGAAGGAGGGAGGGGGGCCTGACGGTTTTCATTATCCGCCTCTTGGATGAGGGCGAGTCCAATTAAGTAGTCTAATAGGGCCCCTCCACGCAAAATAATTTCCCTTCTTCCCCTTTCAAACATTAGCTTCTTGAAATTCGCCCAATGCCTCTCTGAATTGGGACATATAGCAGAATTGAAGTGGCGATTCTCTCAGATCAGGCAATTCTCAAGTAGTGGGACAACACGTTTCACCTGAGAATCAACTTTCATGTTCTCGATCTCATTTTGGGGAAATCTCGGATGAGGGGAGGTCAGGGTTCTTATTTATCCCTGCGAAACATCTTCGAAGTAGGAGACGAGGATGAGACGAAAATGACTATCAGATTGAGTCACGTGTGATCGATCTCCCTTGCCATCTGATTCCGTTGGATGGGCTCAATCAGGGCTCGATAGCGCCATAAAAATCTGACCTTGGGCCTGTCTCTCCCCCTCCTGACGCCGTAACTCCCCCTCTTCTTAGTGAACTTTTGCTAACTTTCATCTCTGTACATTCGATCCGCCACATTATGGGTGTCGAAATTACCCGACTTTCACCTGGTGATGGCAAGGTTAGTTACAGGCACTGATCGGGCCACAAGCAGAGCTCTCCGATATCTAGCTCCCTCTGACTCTCACCCATCATGCCATGTCTCATAGAACTTCCCTAAAGCTGGAGGTTAGAATTGTCTCCTTGCTCCCAGCCTCTGAGCTCTGAACTTTCGAAACTTCTGTACTTATTTTAATGATCGATTGCTCCTTCGTATTCGAAATACCACGTCAACATCTTCTTTATCTTCATCACACATAGACACAGTAGTGATCCACTATGTCGGCACTCTTCTGGACGGGAGTAAGGTGAGATGCATATCATCGTGGTCGAGGTGGACACTGTCTCACCCGCGGCTCCAGTTCGACAGCTCGCGCGATCGTGGTGACCCCTTTGAGACTGTGATCGGGAAGGGAAGGGTCATCAAGGGTTGGGACGAAGGTACACTTTTTTTGCTATCACTCTATCTCTCGAAACCTGGGCTGAATCTCAGGATTCCACAGGCGTTCCTCAACTCTCCCTGGGTGAAAAAGCCATCTTAACCTGCTCACCTGATTACGTTCGTACCCCATAGCACAAGATCTGTTCATAGGCTAAACCGAACGATCGTTACATTTGATAGGCATATGGAGCGCGAGGATACCCACCGGTTATTCCTGGCAATGCGACCCTCAAATTCGAGGTAGAGCTCATCAAGATCAAGTGATCAACATACATACCTCTTCATCTCGTTTCGAACTCTTTTCGATGCACGGTTCTGTCGACTGATCTCGTGTTTCTTGACCTTTCTCTCCGCTGCTTACCCCTCCTCCACTTTTTACTTGTAATTCTATGTAGGGATCATTCTTCCTTTCACTCTCGGCTGGCAGCAATCAACATTACGCGTATTCCGGACTTCTTTTGGCGATTGATTCGGTGAAACCCAGCTGAGACCAGTATTTTGAATGACCACCTCATGAGAGAGGACAATTTGTCCAATCGATCAGCAGTCCCTGATGGACATGATCTCACTGAGCGATATGAGATACTCGATTTGTCAAGAGCGTTCCGGTGAAGGATATGGCAACGGGCCTGAGACTACCAACCCCGAGGATACAAATCACTACTGTATTTACGCATAGCCACTCCTTGACGAGGATCCACAACAACTCATGATCACACGATTAGATCCACTAGTGCCCCACGAATTCCCCAGTGCGATCGTCTCCCATCTCAGACTCACTATTGAGCTGTCTTGATTTTCTGAATTATGATATCACTTTTGAGGATCGCATGCAGAGGCGTGCCTAAAACACTTTTGAATTGTTGTTGAATTATAAAGGGTCTTGTAAGTTCGCATGGTATCCAGTTCCCAACGAATGGTGCAAATACACCTTGTGAAATGACAACAGATAAGGACAGGATGGGGAGTCCCTGCAGCAGCTGCAGAAAAAAAAATCCCAGCGCCTCAACCTCAATGGAACCCTGATCTATGCGTCTCTGGGATTGATTCGAGTTTTAATCATTGGGGGAGGTTCCCCAAAAGAAACCCACGCTCGGAATTGATCGAACGGAGCCCTCCAAGGGGTTTCGACCATATTATATAGAGGCTGCGGTCTTGCCTACGTCCTGAGGGAAATTGTAAATCCCTTAACCAGCCTGTGTATGTAGAAACTGTGGAAGCCGCCAGCAAGTCGCTGCGGAGGATTCATGCGGGATATATGCGGTGATATAATTTGCTGTTAATCGAACATCCTTCTCTGATCGATTGATCTCTCCAGGGGAATGTGTGTGTACTATAAGGCTGTCTCTAGTGCTCACGCATTTAGTACAGTTGGTTATGTTGGAAGGACTGTCGTGGGAAATCCCCAGACAATTCTTCCTTAGGTACGCGTGCTTGGGCAATCGATTTTTTAATACATTCGCTATACATAAAAATACGCACAGACGTGCGTCGAGCAAAATCACCAGTAAGTCGATGGCGAGTTGTATCCGCTGAATAGCGGATTGCCATACCTGGAATCCCTTCACGTGCTCGGCTAGGCCAAGCAACTACGCGAAAAGGGAGCTAATGTATTGAAGGAATGTCAATACATTATGCGGGCTTTGCACTGCACCGCCGCCGCTTCACCTTCTATTTACACTCAGGCACGTTCCCTCAATGCTGTGATCAAATTGACCTTCGCCGCACCTTGAACTCCTTTCGGAGATTTTTCAGCAATGTATGTTTGTCATACGGCGATAGAGACGTTCGGCTTTCATCTAACGCTGCGCACTGCGCACATCTTACGTGATTGGAGCCATTGCTCCATGGCGAGATGAAACGTAATCTGCCACTCAAATGGGGCCCGGGGGTGTCAGCATTCTATAGAGTATTTGGTTGATGTTTTCATGGTTGCCATGTTCTCCACTACCCCACTACTCGACTCGAGCTCTTCGGATACAGACACCACCAAAGCATCGTGAAACTTAACTGTCCATCCCACACGAATGTATCTACCTGGAAAGAAAGGTAGTTAGTAACTTAGCTTGCGTTCGGATCTACTTTCCCTGGGTTTCTGTTTACTAATTTTCGTTACGGGATTCCCAGGTTCAAGGGACCGACTTGCACGGCCGCGATACCCTCTATTATGAGACAAAGAAAAGCGCCTGGGGGGATTCGTATTGCGCCGGGAATTTATCTCTTCAAATGAGCATCCATTGTAGTTTTTCAATTTGCTCTTTCGAGGGTTTCCTGGGGGCAGGGCTTTGCAGCTTGCAAAGCTAATTCCCATCTCCATCGAAATCAAAATTGACGAGGGGACACCTGGCGTGGTTCCTGGTGGCTGGTTGGTCAATAATGGGAATTGTACCTTCCCCCCCGCTGTGACGTGAGGGTTCGACGGGGTTCATTCCCTGCCCTGATGCTCCGCTGGTGGCCGAGATGCTAGCGTCACTCGTACATACCTTGCACACCCGAAGGATTATTCGGTAATGCTGAGGGGCGGTGATAATCAGAGTCCTTTCTGCCAATGGGCCTGGCGATCTGGCGGCCCCGTCATCATTACACCTTATCAAACACATAGCCCGGGCCTCAATGCGCATCGTGCATCTCACGGCAACGGAAAGGCACAAGAACGCATAGTCCCCTCGCCCCTTGCTGCGTCTGGCGTCCGGTATTCTTCCAAGTTTTCTTCCCTCACACCGCTAGCGCTACGTCCTACTGCGATTCATTTCCATAACCTTTGTAGGCCTTCATGCTCCTGACTCAAAAATAATGACTTGATTTTCGCGAGCCCGATCAGATCGCCAACACTGTGGTCTCATTATAAATTCCGATTCACTCACGAACCAGCGTCTATCAGACGTGACAGGTTGCGGGTTCAGTGGAACTTGTTCAACCGGAGATGCCTCTGAGGAATGGAATTGTTGACCGAATGTGAAAGGCTAAATTAAGCAACTTCAATCCTCAATTAGAGGTGCGTCTGCCGCCTTCGTAGTGTGATTCCGCTTTTGAGCCGCGCGAGCCACCTTTCTAAGACCCTACTGCTGGATCCTCTACATGTTTTATCATATTCCGTCTACTTATACTTGTTATGTTCTTAACCCCTCACTTGTCCTTTGGAGAAGCATCACTTTATCCCCCACTCTGGAATTACATTGTCATGGTATCGCGCTTTCCCTATTGACCTGCTGTGCCTGGTTTGTCATGTTCACGGAACGAAGAGATTTTCGTCAAGCAAAAGCCCAGGGTCGAACTGCACCTACACCCCCACGATTTTCTCCTTGAGCCATCTGACCATCTCTGTTCTTGGAATCTTTTCCCCCTCGCCCGTGGAAGCCTCTTTGCCTTTTTGCTCCTTCACACGCACAGTTCCTTCCTTGATCTCATCCCCACCGATGATGACAACGAAGGGTATTTGTTCCTTGTCGACAGTTTCAAACTGCTTTGGAAGCTTTGGTTTTACCTTGTACGCGAATTCAGCCTTTGGATGGACAAGAATGAGCTGTCAAAATTGGTCGTGGTGGACATCTCACTCACTTTGATCCCTGCTGCCCACAGCTCCTTCACAATTTCCATCCGTTCTATCAACAGTCCACCCCCCACGCTCATCACGTATACTTCTGTCGCACTCTTCCTCCCCACACCTCTGAAACCCCCTTGGGCAGCCTTCTCTTTCTCCTTCGCCATTAGAATAGAAAATACACGCTCCACACCTACGCTCACGCCAACACACGGAATACCTTTCTCTTTCTTTTTAGGATCACTTGACCCTGCGCCCATGAACATCCCCACAAGCTCGTCGTACCTCCCACCAGCGGCAATAGAGCCAACGCCAACCTGGGACTCATCGATCTCCTCCTCTTCGGCATTATTTTGGGGGTCTTCACCCGAAGAGGCAGTGGCAATGGACTTTTTCAATTTCGATTTGGAAATGATGGTTTTCATGGCAGTGTCGGCATTAGTGTTCGTTGTGGTTGTGGCGTCAGTGAGTGGTGGTGGTGCGGAGCCCTCGACCACTGCTTCATAGATTAAACCCGTGTAGTAGTCTAAACCTCGGGCCAGGCTCATGTCAAATGACATCTCCGGAAGGACTTCAGCAAAGATGCGGAACATGCATAAGAGACGCCAGTCACCTTGCTTGTTATGCCAAACACATCAAGGTAACTAAAAAGAAGCTTCATGTCTGCTATCCCTGCCTGTGCCGACCTGTTCTGTGCCAATCGTGACGATTCGAGCGTCTGGACGAGCTCAGAGCCGCCTTAAGCATTTGTTAGGGCTATCAATAACCGGCATCCATCCGTACCCTACCTTTCAGCTTGACAAACTCTCCGATTTGGTCCGCCACTACTGGATCCAGGCCTTTGTCCTCTGTCATTTCCCGCTTCACTTCGGACCATGGTAGCTGCATATCTTTCGGATTTTCGGCTGAGGGAAGACAAAGAAAGTGTACAAACCTTGTCCAGTTTGTCCACAGCAGACGAAATCGTCCGTATCTTCTCTGCGGGCACACCACACACTTCGAATATCCCATCAAGGATCTTTCGGTGGTTAATCTAATTAAAAGTGTATCAGAGAGATCTGGGAGGCTAAGCAGTGGCGCCATTACCTTGACTGTGTAATCCCCAACCTCAAGAGCCGTCAAGGCTTCACATAAAATCACCAAGACTTCCGAGTCAGGAAGCATCGGGTCAAATGATCCTGCGATATCGAAGTCCTGCAGGGGTTGTACGGGACTGAATAGACGCAAAATAGCTTGCAGAGACACTCACGCATTGATAGAATTCTCGCATGCGACCTTTCGTCATTGCTGGCGCGTCTCGTCGGTAGACCTTAGCAATGTGGTAGCGCTTTATTGCTGGATATTGAGCGCTGTTCATGGCGAGGAAGCGTGCAAATGGAACCTATCCAACCAATTCGGTGCGACATGTCAGACGCAAGGAGTCAGACCTTTACTCGAAGGGGTACCCACGGTAAGATCGTACCGAAGGCTACATAATTCTCCGCCTTGATCTTGTAGGTCATAGATGAGTTTGCTATCTTCACCGTATTTCCCAGCAAGGATCTCCCGGAGTTCGAAGACGGGAGTGTCAATAGTGCACCCTCCATGCGCTTTGAATACACGGGTAAGAGTGCTGAAAATATGTTCTCGTATTGACATCTCGATGGGCGTCCAGTCTCGTGTACCCTAGGCCAAGCAGATCGCTTCATTGATCGAGGACCAGAAGAGACAATTTCTGATGTTCATCCCTACTTTGGGTGTCTTCAACGTAATTTTTGCCTTCTTAGAGTCATTTTCCCCAGATCCTTTCAATAGAGCAGCTATCCGTCTATTGGTGTCAGCCAGTTTTTGTTGCTGCTCGCTGATAAATGCTTCGTCGGCATTCTGAGCCCGCAGTTCGCGCAGTTTGGCGGAGATGCCAGGGATAGACGCTTTGAGAAGTTCAAGATCGGACAACATTATAGATGTGGTGTATGCTCTAGTACCAGATCGAGGCAAGTAACAGCGTAGTGGATGACAGCAGCGTGAGGTCGGTTGAAAGAAACTTTTCAGCATTCAATCGATCCCGCCTGAGTCACTTTTGGATTCTTTTTTTTTTTTTTTTTTTTTGGAATTCAACCAAGGTCACGTGTCAAGCGATTGTCTGACGCTAGAGGTTGAATGCTTAGGGTTCTGGGGGGTCCTGACAGTTGTTTTTCGTGCAGGATTATCAGACTGGGCCGCTTCCTTCACATGAGATCTTTTGATCTTTCTCCTCCGATCTGCCGATTGGATCCATCCGCTCCCTTGGACCGCTCCAAGTTCACCCTTTTGTTGCCCGTCCTTGCTGTTCGAGTGGCATCAGAGAAATGTGGAACATTCGCTAGGAAAGAACCTATGAAAAAGCATGTCCTAATCTTCCCTTGTGATCGGTTGCTCTTAACAAGGCTCTAGTTAGATACGTATTGGACGTTCCAAGAACAAAGTCGATACTGCATGATCAAACCGACGAGAAAAAGAGGCTCATTTTACTCAAGGAATCAAGTATAGGTCTGTGGTACGCATGGATTGATGTTGGGACATGCAGTTGATGAGCAGCAGAGATGTTTCCGCAGGACATTCGTCACTATATTGAATCAGAAGCCGAGAGTTATCACGAGCATCAAGTAGTTTTTGATTATGATTATTGGACGGCTGGTTAGTTGAAGAACCTTTTTCTTTCCAAAAATTAAAGCTTCCATCTCTAAGACGAGATTCTTCACTCTATACTCCCCGATGCTCTCAGTGGCGACACCCGACGTCTTTCACATTGACCGGGCATCTTGGTATGTCTACTTGACCTGATATTTGAGTTATTTAACCGCTGGTTCTCGACTACAGCGCATTTTAACTTGAAAGAACTATATTTGCCTTGGAAGTACCATATAGGCCAAATTGTTCTTGATGTGAGCACTCTTGTGTCATTTCTTTTGGCAGATTACTCATAATTGTAATAGAAGAACAAAGGAGTCAAAACTGTAGTCAACAAGCTTGAAACTATCGATAATGAGTTTCGTTTCTTCAAGATGGAACTCCTCGCGGGCGAACCTGACTATGTCGTTGAAGTGGTATGAGCTTTTCTTGTGCGTTCGATCGGCTAGCTAAAACGGTGGCCAGCATGAATCAAATTGTCGGTTCAAGTTTGATTTCTCCCAAGTCTACTGGAATTCTCGGTTACATTCTGAGCATGAGCGGCTAGTATCCTCCTTCGATGGCTCAGATGTTATCGCAGACGTCTTCGCTGGAGTGGGGCCATTTTCAATCCCCGCGGCGAAAAAGGGTTGCGCCGTGTTTGGGAATGACTTGAACCCAAACAGTGCTAAATATATGCAGGCAAATGCGGAGGGTAATAAGGTACATTTTTCTAGATGCTTGAGGAAATTTTCTCAGTGTTCAACTCTGAAGGTCGCCGCCAGAGTTCGAGTCTCATGTGAAGATGGAAGAGAATTCATCAGAAGGATCGCTCGTGAATCATGGCATACTCCTTTCCCTGGTCTAAATGGTCCCTTCAAGACCCCTAAACAACTGGAAAGAGAATCTCGGCACCGCCGAAACCATAATCTACCAGGTTCCCTCCCTGTCGATGTCCTACCCCGAAGGTACATTGGCCATTTTGTTATGAATCTTCCTGGAATGGCACTCGAATTCCTCGATGCCTTCCGTGGGTGTTTATCTGCGATTAAGAATGAAGATGGGTTCAATTCCACATATGATGTGATGCCACTTGTGCATTGTCATTGCTTCACTCGCGAATCGGAACGAGACAAAGCCGAGGCTGATATTCGACGGGTGAGCAGCAGAGTCTACACACTTTGATTTCGTTTATATTGACGATAACACTGTTTCTCCTTTTGAACACATGATAGCGAGCAGAAACTGCTCTTGGCGAACCGCTGCCCTGCGATGCGAGCTTCCACTTCGTCAGGGCGGTCGCGCCCAATAAGGATATGTACTGTGTGTCGTTTCGGCCATCGAGAGAGTTGATGGTGGGTGATCGGGACGTTTCGTTTCCGTCATAGGACGCGCGCTGCTTGTGCGGCTCCGTTTTATAATTCGACGCACCTCATGGCGCGTAACAGATTGTGGGATGCAAATGGCTGTAGACTGATTCTGCCTTCAGTCCGAGAAAGCAGGTACCGTTATGCCGACTATTATTTAATACACAATCCATTCTCCGTCGCAATATTGTATGTTCCGCGAATTCGAATTGTACGGCGCTGAATACTATATTTGGTGATTGAGGCTTTTGTTTCCGTTCCCGGGCTCATTTTCATCTGAGCTGTTCGGTGGACGTCATCTTCTTCAGTGCTTGAGTAGCGTGTTTTGGGGCGTTGACCAGGCTTTGGTTTGAAGCTATAATGGTCTTCCCTTTGCCGAGGCCTGTCCTGTGCGATGATGGCACACCTCAATCACCTGTGGCCCTTCCCGCTAAGTCTGCGCTATCATCTGTGAGGCAGGCGTTGGCCAAACCGGAACAAGAGACTGCCAAGTGGAGGCGGACCTTTGAAAAGTATGCAAAAGAGGAGAATGGCTCGAAGTAAGCGTCCAGTTCATAATTAGCCATATTTGCCATTGACATTATGTTGGAACTTGCGCAGATTCCTCGATCAGGACTCGTTCGTAAACGCCATTGTGCCTAAAGACGATCTTACGCGTATCAGCCGACAGCAGTTCGGTATCCTCTTCAAGGTCGCTGACCGTAGCCAAACCGGCCGTGTGAGCTGGGATGACTTCTTCCTTTTTGAGACCACCCTCAAACGTCCAGATGCTGAGTACTGGATCGCATTCGAATATTTTGACGTGTAAGTTTTTTTGCAGAGGGCCTTCCATCTGGTGGCATCGTTTACTGATGTTTTCCTGTTCAGTGATGGTTCGGGCACCATATCTGCTGACGAGTTCAAAAATGTCTTCTCTGCGAATATTGGCCCAGACTGCATACCGTTTAGCTTTGATAGTGATTGGCTCAGTTTGCACTTGGGGAAACGGGGAGGGAATCATGTTCTTGGATGTAAGCCTTTGGGGGTGGTGTTCTCGTCCCGATAGTTATACTTTGATTTCCTCTTCCAGACAACGAATTTACACAGCTCATGAAGGGTTTGCAAGGCGAACGTCTTCGTCAGGCATTTAAGTACCTGGATAAGAATCAGGATGGTTTCATCGGACCAGACGATTTCAAGCGCATCATATTGGTACGTTAGACCTGGTTTCAGAGCACCTGGCTTATGCGCTCTTTACATCTAGGAACTCGCTGGGCATAAGCTCTCTGACCAAATAATCGAACGCCTTCCCACGCTGGTCACTTTGAACCCCGGAGTTGGGGTTTCCTATTCGGAAGTCGGCGCTTTCCACAATGTCATTCGCTGTATGTTCGACACTTTCATTTCATCGCGATGCATCGCCTAATCCTCCGGCTAACAATTAGCAATGGATATCCTGGAGCGCATTATTCGCGAAGCAACTGCCAAATCCAAGGATGGTCGCATAGACATAGAGGACTTCCTTAATCATTGCGCATCCTCCACCCGATATTCCCTCTTTACCCCTATGGAGGCATCCATTATCTTCCATTTTGCCGGCGCTGGTCGTAAGCGGCTTGCCCTCATCGATTTTGCATCTTTGCTCGATCCAAGATGGAATGCCCTGCCTGGCCAGGCAACGGCTGTAGCAACTGTGCATGATCCAAAGCAACATCAGACAATCTTACAAGGTTTGGCACATTCTGTATACAACTTCATGTTAGGGGGTATTGCCGGATCGACTGGTGCTACAATGGTTTATCCTATTGACCTCGTCAAGGTACCGTTGTGAATGCGACACGTTTCAAGGGAGCTGAATGGTCGTCTCATGGTATACAATCAGACTCGGATGCAAAACCAGCGCAGCAACGTTGTCGGGCAACTGTTGTACAAGAATAGTCTCGACTGCGTTCAGAAAGTCTGGCGAAACGAGGGCTTTTTTGGGTTCTATAGAGGCATCGGCCCGCAATTGATTGTACGGACGACATGTTCTCGGACTTTCTGGGTCATAACGTTATCTTGCGTGAATCCAGGGAGTTGCCCCGGAAAAAGCCATCAAGTTGACTGTCAACGATCTCGTTCGGGGATATGCCACTGATCCGGAAACGGGACGAATCAAGCTAAGTTGGGAGCTGGTTGCAGGTGGTTCTGCCGGTGGATGTCAAGTTGTACGTGCGACTTCCTTGAAAGTTGAGACTTTGGGCAGTACTGATCATATAATTACAGATCTTCACAAACCCTCTGGAGATAGTGTTCGTTTCTCCTGCATGTAGATTGCCATTCTCTCACGCGTTTGTTCTACCAGAAAAATTCGCCTTCAAATTCAAGGTGAAGCCGCAAAGGCCGAAGGAACTCCCCCAAGAGGGGCGATCCACATCGTGAAGCAGCTTGGTTTGATTGGTCTCTATAAGGGTGCTTCCGCATGCTTGCTCCGCGATATTCCTTTCTCAGCCATTTACTTCCCTGCCTACTCGCACCTGAAGAAGGATCTGTTTCATGAAGGATATAACGGCAAGAAGCTGTCGTTTGGAGAGACACTTGCTTCGGCAGCTATTGCGTCAGTGTGCAATGGAAACATTATGAATAATGTATCTCACAACTTTTCAGAGGCATGCCTGCGGCATATTTGACAACTCCCGCAGACGTCATCAAGACTCGGCTCCAGGTCGAGACCAGAAAAGGGCAATCAACTTATAAAGGCTTAACTGACGCAGCTGCGAAGATCTGTGAGTTAATTCCCCCTGAATGTGGATTGATGATCATACCCCGTTCCCTAGTCCGCGAAGAAGGATTCAAAGCCCTATTTAAAGGAGGTCCCGCTCGTGTTATTCGCAGCAGTCCTCAATTCGGTTTCACTCTTGTTGCGTATGAATATCTACATAAGGTGAGTGCAACCTCCCCATCCGTGTAGTTTCACGAAACCTAGTTTCTTCATTCCCAGTATCTTCCATACCCGTATGGCGTCGAGAAGCCACAATTAGAGACACACCTTACCAGAGAACCAGAAGATATCACTCGCGTGCGGGCGCGCAACGCCCTCAAAATCCTTCTCGATTGCCATTCCGTACGTGAAGCTTCATTCCATCTTTATATGGTCATTACCAACTTGCTTTGTCAGGATTGGGGCACCTTCACCACGCCAAAACATTTCACTCCTTTGAAATAGATGTTCACACTGTTACGGTACGGCACAGCACATATAATGATTCTGGAGTACTGGATCACTATCATTGATTGACGACTGATTGAGGCTCAATCGTGATGTTTCCCATTTGTTTGTCTAAAGGGGTTGCAGTGTCTGCTAGTCGCGGGGAACCATGATCTTATTCAGTTTGAAATGGACTTTCCATTCTTGGTTGTGGCTGTGTACACCCACTTATGGATCTACCTTCAACAGCAACCATAGCCTCTCCTAGCCTCTCGCTGCTCCAGAAACTGTGGCCTTCTGTGAGGTGAAGCGCGTGATGCATTTTATGGTACAACTTAGGATCGACTTTTCTTGCTGATTCATGGGCACTTTGATTCGCATGCTGCCTAAGAACTCACCCAGAGTAATGATTTGATGATTACTGATTCGTGATGAATGCTGTTGCGGTACCCTACTCAACGCGACCGACAACTTAATGGGTTCCATGACTGGCCTGTGTGCTCCGGGACGTTCTTGGCCGCACTGTCCTGGCGACATGATCTCTACGGATGAGGGTCGTCCAGGTGGCAGTATCATGATTGCTGAGCAAGAGCTATTATAAACATCTTTTTAATGCTATGGATGCTTCGCCTTTACAGTGACTTGTCCCCGTTGCTGATTGGACGCTCTCAGCAGCATTTACTTCGTTCTTCTCTCTTTTCTTCTAGCCCACTTCATATTTCGTTCTAGGCAGCGTAGATCGCCGCGCCGTTTTGATAACGGTTAGGGATTGTTAACCAGACGCACAGAGCCCACCGCCTCGTTGACGAGTTCCGAAATGTACAACAACTACTTCATCGCCGCTCTGCTTGCCTCTGCAACTTTGGGAAGGGCGCAGGGTGTTCTTGGAGGCTCGTCAGTCCCTGCGGACACTATGTCACTGGCCGCTGCCCCTGGCCCCTCTGTGACATCGCCCTCCCCTTCTCAGACTTCCGTACCTTCATCCACGTCTTCCATCATGAGTTCGTCGACGCCTGCTCCACCCAAGGACATGCCTCAGTACCCGTCGTACCAATACACGTCTGAAATGCCGTACAGCGTCATGACGTCTGGTGGATATAAATCGCTGGATTGCGGATACGGATATAAGAAAGGCAATGATGGGTCGTGTCAGAAGGAAAGCTGGTACTCATACACAGGCAATGGATGCTATGCCCAGACGACGCTCATCGTCAAGTGAGTTCACTTCGTTCGAAGATCCTCTGGTGTTTATCGTCTCTGTTGCGCTAGCAACAACGGTGGTTACAACTATAACGCCAAATGCTACTATGGTGGTGGAGAGACCAAGACGATTACTGAGACAGTGACCGACACCATGACCAAAACTATGGTTCAAACGACAACGGAGACTGTCACAGATACTGCAACCAAGACCGAGATCGAGATGCAGACGTACACTCAATTTGTTCCCACCACGCGCATCTGGACCAGTACTGAGATTATTGACAAGGTTGGCCCTCACACCACGCACTCAGAAAGCCTTCATTGATAGCTCAATGCTACAGACAAAACTCATCGAGCACACGATGACTGCTACTGAGACGCAGACCAACGTCTATACTACCAGTGTGACGAAGACCCAGACCGCTACTGTCGTATGTCCCCGTGATCCTACTTAGGCCGCTCGATGACTGATTTCACTCTCAGACGGATGTCGAGACCAAGACTGTTGTCTACACGAGTTTGGTGCCTACAACATATGTGAAAACTTTGGTTTCTACGGAAGTCATCGACAAGGTGCGCATCGCAAGCCCTGCGGCACCTAAAGTTACTGATGCGAAATACACAAACAGACCAAAACCATTGAGCACACTCTGTTGAACACCATCACTGACACGATGACTCAGGTTAAAACTCAGTTTGATACGGTGGCACGTAAAATATCCCCACTGCATGCTTTTCCGATGCTCATAGTACCCCCTAGACTAAGACAGACTTCATGACAATTTTCAACACCAAGACTGTCCTACAACCAACCACATATGTGAGGACCTATGTCTCTACCGATATTATCGACAACACAAAGACTGTTGTCAAGTGCGTGTAATAAAACTATCCCGTTGCATAGCAGTCTGAGTCCTTCTGTCCCCTCTAGCACAATGACCGAATTGATGACTGACACCGTGACTAAGGTGCGAAGTTGGTATGCAATGCCTTTCTGACTTTCCTTACGGAAGTTTCTATCGTAGACAATGGTTGACACAAAGACAATCCAAAAAACTCAAACAGAGACGGATTTCATCACTCGGGTGTATACTCAAGTGGTTCCAACCACGTACACTAAGGTCTGGATAAGCACCGAAATCATGGATAAGGCAAGCCACGTTAACGCTTAACACCGATACCCCTTCCTGCTGACCTCTTGCTTTGGTGTTGGGTAGACGAAGACGGTTGATCACACTCTATCGACAGTAATCACATCCACGAGAACAGACGTGATGATGACCACTGTCGTCTCCACCACGACGCCAGTCCAAACGTCCCTATCAAGTTGTTTGTATGAGTGCAAGCAACAGTACAATATGTTGGGCCAGTACTATGACAATGCCCCCAGCCGGCCTACTCCGGCGTACGAGCATGAATCGTATGCTCCTCCCGTCTCCACTGACCAAAGTGGCGGCGGGTGCTATGGCGGTTCATGCCGTCGTTAACTCCGAAGTGGTGGACGGCGATTCCCATTCTTCACGACCTCAGATGCTATTGATTTTCCTGACACGAACTTCACGTCGTCGCTCTTTGTGGTCCTTTCTCGAGATCGAATTAAGTCGTCCCTTTTTCAAGATCGTATGCTTCGTTTTGTTTGCCATTTTTTTGCCTTGTTCATTTTTGGGTTTGCCTTACAGTTCCTCTCCTTGAACAAATACTGAACTTGGTATCGTTGTCAATTGATATGTTTTTGCCGATATGGGGACATGGGAACGGTGTTCGGCGAGACTGAATTGAAAGTTACATCACGCCGCAAAGTATGGGGAAATGGGAAGCGTTCAACACTCGGAACGTACCCTGGTTTTCCGTGGAATCGACGGTTGGAGAGGGATGACTCCTTCTGAGCTTGATCGAGTCATCATCAACTGCCGATACAGGCTTTCAGCCATGCGCTGAAACGTTTGTTGGAAGACCAGGGAATCAGGATCAGATCTAGAATCATCATACATCTCAATCATCGCAACCATTGCACACCCCAGTTAGGGCAATAGAGCTTACAAATGGCTGGCACGTTAATCCTTGCCTCGGCGACAAAATCACGAACAGTTGGACAATAGTAACTTGATCAGCTTGTTACAGCACGGGCCGAGAACTACGATGTATGTATTTTCAAAACCTTGGTTGATTTGAGCCGCGGAGTGGCGGACCCGCACAAAGGCAACGACTTGTGAGATACTCGTGCCTATGGAGACGATCATGCGATCGGGGATCTGGACGAGCCCCGTAGAGTGTTTGAATACAGGAAGTCCATCCAACGGCGGGCTGAGCAGTGGTATAGCAACAACACCAGATTCCATAAACTGTCGCATCATGGGGATGCGCCACGGCTTGACCATCGCTGGGATACGTTTCATTCAATGCTCTAACTTCCGCATGAAATACCACCCGACAGCGGATTAACGAGAATGATTCTGTCTTGGTTCATCGAAATTCCGTATTTCAGCATCCCTGAGCCTAATCTATTGTCCCACCACCCTGCTTTGGAAGCTGCACTCGACAGCCTGGGCAGCGGCAAGCTTGGCCGCGATCCCAGAGGTGATTCGGGCTATGAATTCACAACAGATTTGGGAACTGTTGTTGCAGGTAACTAGAATAGTACAAAGGGGACAATGTAGGGCTGAGACACAAACGCTCAGTACTAGTGAGGGTTGACTCGATGCCGAGTCGGGGATCACACCGAAGGAAGGTTGCCGACATAAAATTAATTGCAACATCCTGCCAGGCCTTTCAGAATAAGTGCTATTCAGTGGTAAGCCGACAGAAGACATCTACGCACTGGCTGGGCATCTCGACTGCATGCTATTCAGAACACGCAAAAGTTGGTCGAACTCGGGGGGAACAGTGTGATGGTTTCGTAGTTCCATTAATCTAGCCAAACTTCGTGGACCTCCACGCTTGCCTAAAACGTACAGGAAATCACCAATAAAGCCACCAAATTGGGAACATGACCCGGCAATAATGGTGGGCGACTGGCAATTTTGTCAACCTTCTGCAATGAGACGCCTCATGGGCCTTGAGAAACGTGAGGATGGCCCGGTGAATGGACAACGACAGCGTGGGAACGGCTCTCGCCGGAATCCGCAAAATATTTGTGGCCATCGCTTGCCTCGTAAACGCGCCCACCCTCATCTCTGACGCCTTCCCAGCCTCTTCTGGTCGTAGCATCTGCGGCAGGAATTGTTAATTTCCACTAATAGCGGATTTGCGCATTATGGATTTCGCAAATCCATTGCCGTCGACAGTCAAGTCTGCCTCTTTCTACGTGTTGAGCACAGAGGAAATCAAACGTATATCTGTCCAACAAATCACCAATGATTCAATATTCGATCAGCTTGGCAGACCAATCCCTAAAAGTCTTTATGATTCCGCATTGGGTCCCCTCACACCACGAGACATGTGGGTGCTTGGTCGCTTTGGTCTATATGTTTCACTGCTTATGCCATTTCAGTTGCGAAACTTGTAAGCTGGACTATTTCAAGTGTCCCGGTCATTTCGGGCATATTGAGCTACCTGTTCCTGTGTACCATCCATTTTTTATGGTGACACTCCTCAAACTCCTGCGGTGTACATGCCTTTTCTGTCACCATTTCATGTTTGGAGCAGCTATTGTCAGTTTTAAAATCTCTCTGTCACGACACAATAGCTGATCGGAAACTGTAGCGAGCCAGATTCACTGCGGTATTCCGCCTTCTGGAGTACGGCTTGCTCGCGGAGGCTCAAGCGCTGGATGAATTTGAGCCTGACTTTGCTGACAATGATGAGGAAACAGATGCCGGGGCGCTTACCCTTCCCGAATACATCAAGAAAGTCGAAACCACAGTTGATCACGCGTTACGGTCCCGCGGAGGGATCCAAGATGGCTACAAGCACGAACTGGTTTTCTCTTTTCGTCAACAAGCAATAAAAAAATTCCTCCAGTTCCGGTTAACCCGTTGCCGTAACTGTAAAGCGTGAGCTTCAACATTCCCTTTCTTTATCAATGATGTTAACTCATCGTCCCAAGTGTGGCACACACCTTTCGCAAAGAAGGCTCAGCAAAAATAGTCCGATACGACTTGACTCCGCTCCAGAAACAAGAGAACTCGAGGCATCATGTCGCCACACCTGATGTTCTTAGCAGTGAAGCCGCGAAAATGCCTGTCACTGTGGATGATGATGACGGGGGAGAGGAGGAACCGGCTCCGCAAGCCGAGTTTACGGACGACGAAACATCGGACGAGCTGGTAAAAAAGGATGTTACTAAGCCGACAGGTGCTCCTACGGTCGGTAAAAGGCGTGGTCGACAAGAATTCCTATTCCTCCCTGAGGAATGCCGTGCTCATATCCGAAGGTTGTTTGCCAACGAGTCAACCCTATGCTCCCTAATCTTTGGTCGACACGGTCCGTATGCTTATGGCAATGGAAGAGCTTCGGGACTGCCTAGCAAGACCACTCCTGGGCAGGCGTCAGCGGACATGTTCTTCTTGGAGGTTATGCCAGTGTCACCGAATCGCTTTAGACCCGTCCAGAGAGTGGGAGACGCGCTTTTTGAGAATACCCACAACCAAACGTTGACTCATATTCTGCAAACTTCTCTCGAGATCAAGCAAGTATCTACAGAACTCAAAGGTTATTCGATTAAGGATGGGAATATGTCAGCGGATGCCGTCGAAGAACAACGGACTCTAGCACTCCAACACCTTGTTCGTTTGGTTCTCAAGATACAGCGCGATGTCGAGTCCTTTATGGACAGCAATAGACACACCAGTCGTACGAAGCTTCCTCCGCCAGGCGTCAAGCAAATTTTGGAGAAGAAGCAAGGCCTTTTTCGCCAGAATTTGATGGCATGTCATTTACTATCGTGCAATCATTCCGTTAGACATTAATGAGTTATTCAGGGGAAACGGGTAAATTTTGCCGCCCGTTCTGTAATCTCGCCGGACGTGAATATCGAGACAAATGAGATCGGCGTTCCCCCCGTGTTCGCAAAAAAGTTGACCTTCGCGGAGGCGGTCACAGATGCCAACGTTCACGAGCTACGCCAGGCGGTTATTAATGGCCCAACATGGCCTGGAGCCAGTATGGTGCAGATGGAAAATGGTCAATGTATTAGTTTGGTGAGTGACTTTATCCTCATGTTACGTTGTCGTATCGACAGCACTGTATCGCAGCTTACTACAATGGACAAGCGAAGGGCTATCGCAAACCAGCTTCTGACTCCGCAACAACAGCCCCCTTCTCATTCCTTGGGTCATCTTGGCCTGACGCATCGCTTGCAGTCCGGAACTCCTACCGTCAATAAAAAAGTGTTTCGGCACCTCCGTGATGGTGATATGCTCATCGTGAATCGACAGCCTACTCTTCACAAACCGAGCATGATGGTCCATAGGGCAAGAGTCCTTCGAGGCGAAAAGACGATTCGGATGCACTATGCGAACTGGTGATTTTATCTTTTGGCTCGTATTCCTCTCGCTAACGGAGGGTTCCTTAATAATTGGTTGTACAGTAACTCGTATAATGGTCAGCAATGTCTACTTTGTATCATACCCATTTACTAATCGATTTTCAGCTGATTTTGATGGTGACGGTGGGTCTCAGAATTTGACTTTATTCCTGGAGTTCTAATGATTATTTTCTAGAGATGAATCTTCACTTTCCCCGTGAGTGTCTGACTTTGTTTGGATCAACAAAACCTTCCCTCAATCGTTTTGCAGAAAACGACGTTCCCAGAGCGGAAGCTATGGTGATTGCCAACACTGATGACCAGTATCTCGTACCGACGTCCGGTGCGCCTCTTCGAGGTCTTATCCAGGATCACGTCGTAGCCGGGGTCTGGATGACGAACAAGCAGACCTTTTTTACTCGCGAAGAGTATCATCAAATAATTTATGGGGCTCTTCGCCCCGAGAACGGATACACCGGGTGTGGCAGGGTACTGACACTGCCTCCCGCAATCTGGAAGCCACGTGCCTTGTGGACGGGGAAACAACTTGTTTGTGTTACTCCAATCCCGCTCACGATGTGTATGAATACCTTCCGTTCCTTTAGATCTCTACGGTTTTAAAAAACGTTACACCCCCCAACTCCAAGGGGTTGAATATGGAATCCAAAGCTAAAGTTCCTAACAAGTATTGGGGGCTTTTCTCCACGGAACAAGACGTCGTTTTTGTCGACGGCGAGCTGGTCTGTGGCATACTCGATAAATCTCAATTTGGTGCGACTTCATATGGTATGGTGCACGGCGTTTACGAGCTCTACGGTGGAGAGGTTGCTGGAAAGTTACTGAGTGTTCTTAGTCGACTATTCACGAAATTCCTCCAACATCGAGCCTTCACTTGCCGAATGGATGACTTAGCTTTGACTCCATCTGCTGATGCGGCTCGAAAGTTAGTCTTGAAAGAGGGCTCTAATTTTGGCACCGAGGCTGCAATGGACAATTTCCCTTCACTGTCGGACCCCCAGTCACCTAATGACGAAAAGCCTGCAGCTTTGAAAAAGTTGCTGGAGGAAGTGCTTCGGGACGACAACAAGATGGCTTCCCTTGATGTAACTGTTAAGAACAAGATGAGGTCTCTGAAGAGCCGGCTCGACGATTTATGTGTTCCAGGAGGCCTTCTTAGACGGTTCCCGGACAATCACATGCAGACCATGGTGACTAGCGGTGCAAAGGGCAGCGCTGTCAATGCAAACCAGATCTCATCTGCACTTGGACAGCAAGAGCTTGAGGGTCGCCGTGTGCCCGTGATGGTCAGTGGAAAGACGCTACCCTCTTTCAAAGCTTTCGAGACTGCCGCCATCGCCGGTGGATTCGTTGGCAGTCGGTTTTTGACTGGATTAAAACCGCAAGAGTTCTATTTTCATTGCATGGCTGGCCGTGAAGGTCTCATCGATACTGCCGTCAAGACCAGTCGTTCTGGCTATCTTCAGCGATGTCTGATGAAGCATCTCGAAGGGATTCGCGTTCACTATGATCACACCGTCCGTGGCAGCGATGCCTCCATCTATCAGTTCCTCTACGGTGGAGACGGCCTAGACGTGACGAAACAGAAGTATCTCCTGGACTCGGAGAAGCAGAAAAACTTGTTGCTTTTCGCTTCCCAGAATCAGCAAGCCCTTGCTGACAAAATTAATTACTCTGCGCTGATGGACTCGCCTATGATCAATAAGGAAGGTGCTCTCTCCCACTCCAAAAAAGTTATCTCGAGACCGAGTAAATATTCCCCAACCCTTTCGAAGTACCCACCTTGGTTATATCTTGGGGCCACGTCCGAGCGGTTCAGCTACGCACTGCACCATTACATTGAAGACAATCCACACGGTGTCATCTTCAATAAAGAAGCGGAGCCTGGACTGTCAAAACGTCGTCGCCTGGTAAATCGCAAGACTTTCCGGAGCCTCATGCACGCACGCTATCTCCGTTCTTTGGCCGATCCTGGCGAAGCTGTCGGGGCGCTGGCCTCTCAGGGGTACGTATTTTGACACGGAGTAAAATCGCAATTTGACCCCTTATTCCAGGGTAGGCGAACCCTCGACTCAAATGACGCTGAACACCTTCCATTTCGCAGGTCCGCGTAACCCCTTCGCTCATGTCTTCGCCAGTTAGCTTACACTTCGTCATCAGGACATGGTGCTGCAAATGTGACACTTGGTATTCCTCGACTTCGTGAGATCATTATGACAGCAGCCCGGAGCCCCAAAACTCCAACGATGACATTGCCCGCTACAAGCAGCGCTTCAGTGGCGGATATAGCTGCTTTCTGCAAACGGGCCAGCCGCCTAACCCTGTCCCAAGTCGTCGATTTTGTTCAAGTTGAAGAAATGTATATATCGCACTCCAATGTCCGGAGACGACAGTACAGCGTCACCCTTGAGCTATTTCCGAGCGATCAATTTCACGAGGAATATGATATCAACAGAGCCGAAGTATTGAGGACTATTGGCACAAAATTTGGCATCGCACTCTCTGCCCACATTAAGCGAGAGCTCCGAAGGGCGCGATCGGATCTCCAATCTGCTGTATCTGAAGCGAATGTCCCCTCGGAGGGAGTGTCCACTCGCGGCGGGGCGGTAGAGGACGTCGACGGGGCTGAGCAGGGCGACGATGAGGGTGTGAAGCATGGTGATAACACACACGAGCAACAAGGAGATGAGATAGAGTATGAGGAAGGTAACAGTGACGATGAAGACGAGGAAGAGGAAGAGGAGGAAGAGGAGGAAGAGGAGGAAGAGGACAATGAGGACAAGAATTCGAAACTAAATGGGCAAAATTTGACAGCCAAAGACAGTCCATCAAATAGTGAAACCGTGACTGACATTGCTCAGCCCTCAGGCAGTGCTGCCGATGCCCCATCTGGAAGCTCGGCTACTCAATCTGCGAGACTTGCGAGAGCGGACGACGCCCTAAGCAAGTCCTGCGAGTGGTTTGTCCCTGGATCTTTGACTTTTCACTCCAAACATCAATCAAGTTGCACGTTCAGGCTTTCGGTCAGTATTCCGTGGTACCTATATCCTTCCATGTGTTCGTTTATTCCGTCTTACAGTTCCCAGTTGGAACCCCAAAACTGTTACTCGTTGGCTTGGTGGAGCAGTCCTGCATTAGATCCGTCATACGTGAAATCCCTCAGGTCACTCGCTGTCTGCATGTCAAGAAAACGGGTGACGAACGGGTCAGTTTTTTGATGCACAATATTGTTTATGCTCGTATGTCCGAACAGGATACCTTTAGGAAACTATGATGACAGAGGGATCGAACCTCCAAGGGTTATGGGGATTCGTTGATCAGATCGGCGACATCGTTGACATTGACGGGGTCACAAGTAATGACATTTATGCTGTGCTCTGCACCTACGGTGTCGAGGCAGCCAGAGCAACCATTATCAGCGAAGTTCAGAGTATCTTTGCATCATATGGTATTGCTGTTGATGGAAGACACATCGAATTAATCGCAGATTACATGGTATGATTGTGGCTTTTGTGCTTTGCGCCTAACCTTACCACCTTCTCATAGACATTCGATGGAGGTTTTAGAGCGTTCAATCGAATCGGTATCGGCAGTAATTCCTCACCGTTCCTTAAAGCGTCATTCGAGACTTGTGCTAAATTTGTAACGGAAGCAACTGTCTTCGGGGACTTTGACAGTTTGACCAGTCCTAGCGGTGCCATCGTGCTGGGTCGACCCGTCCAATGTGGTACTGGTGCATTTGACATCCTTACAGACTTGAGTGCACATGCCGCCAAATATTCAATGTCCCAGTAGTTTCCAGATACTTCATACATGGTTATCATAGAGCCAATGTCATATCTTTACACCGCACTATCCTTTGTACACCTCCACGTGCGCTATTCCACATTTCGACCTGGCGTATCGTGCAAGTGTCTGTCTAGGCAGGAGTCCAGCCTATATAACTTCGTAATAGTGTCTGCACTGGGTGTATTTTGTAAATACCGAGCCGGAGGGCTTCAGTGTGCGATTGAAGATATGCTCGTCGTGTTGGGGACTCAGCAGAGCGTAGTCCAGGGCAGCCAGAAGTCTTACTCGGCCTATGTTCTATCGCACCGCAGGCACTCTGGCCTCATGCTGCGGTGTATTTTCCCGCCCACCTTTATACTTTTATAGTTCTCCAATGCGAGACTGATGAAGTAGTGATTGTCATCATAATTCCTATCTGATAGAGGCTGGTATATAACCTGCCTAGTGTCGTTACGAGTCATGGGTGCATTACAGTATGCCCTTCTTCTGTCTTGGAATATTGTTGCCACTTACCCATCTCATAGCGGAATTGGCCGTACCTATTGTATTGGGTTGATACATAGCCACTGGCCCACTCATTTCGAGTACATGCTCTCTTATGGCGTCGTCGTCACTTTCTTCTGTCGTTTCCCATCTCATGAGGGCCTCCGTGGGCTCCTCTATCCCAGATAATGTGTCAGACCAAGATTTGGACCGATTTGTTGCCGATCTCATCCTGAAAGAAGCCAAGGAAGCCGAAGATAAGTACAAAGGAAAGGAAGGTATACGTGCATACCTTCCACACACTGGGCTGTGAGTAGCGGATTTCATTTGCTCACGATCAAGCCGATTAATTGTTCAGTGAGATAGGCCAGAGGGTAATCTCCCACGGACGAATAAACGTTTCCTGAGTTCGATAATAAAGAACGTCGATGATCATAATGCATCTATCCTTCGAGCACAGGCCGTGACAGCTTTAGAGAAGAAAGCGGACAGGGAAGAATTCGAACGCGAGGAGCGAAGAATGCGTGCCATCGAGGCCTCCAGAGAACGCTTTCGACGATTAATGGGTGATCGTCGAAGTCGTGAAGCTGGGGCAGTTGGTGATCGGAAGGGTAGTTCCAGAGATGAGACGCCCCACAAACGCCTACGCAGCAGTGCCCTGGAAGAGATGGGGGATAGATATCGGGACCCCGAACGGCGTCGGCGTGATGATTCCACTAGATCTGAATCCCGGCATGCCCAAGGTTCGTCGACGGGGCGCCTCGATTCTCCTCACCCATCCTCCCCTTCGCCTTCGCGTTCTATGCCTCCTGACCGGCCACAACCGGACGATCACTCAACGGCTGGAACCCTCGCCCCATCTCACACATCGCGATACGAGACTTCTCATCCCACACGCAATAGAGACAAGCCATCATCCCAGTATCGCGCACGAAGCCGGTCTCATTCGCCTAAAGTGCGCAGGATGAAACGAGGAAGGAGCTCTTCCCGTGACAACGTTCGGGACTCAGGTCGGCACCAGCGCCGGCGTTCGCATCGTGATGATGTCGGTGGATCCTGTTCAAGGTCGCGATCACGTTCCCATTCTCCCCGTCGCTCCCGTCATCATTCTTACAGATCTTCATACAAGGATAAGAACTATGTGAGCCATAAAGAGCGATCCAGTAAATCACAGCCACACGACACCAAAGAACGTTGTCCTGACTCGCACAAAAAGGCCCGTATCCGAGACCGATCGACTAGTGCTCATTCCGAAGAAAGCGAGGTAGTTGTCGATCGTCCCTCTCCGTCCCTGCTCACAAAACCACTGCGGTCAATCAAAATGGACCGGTATTTTGATCCCAATTACGACCCTGCGTTGGATTACCAACCCAGTCTGAAAACAGATGAGTTTGTTGAGGAAGGGGCATTTGATGATTGGAACATGATGCTCGAACTAGTTCGAGCCAGGCGAGAGGACAAGGAGGAGAAGAAACGAAGGGAGAGACTTGGTCTCCCTGCATCATCAGGCGGGACGAGTGCCATGGACATTGTTTACAAGAAACGGGGTTCAACCAGAGAATGGGACCTTGGGAAGGAATAGACTTTACCATTATTAGCCCAATTACGAGTGTAACTTGTACATTTTTCTTGTACGACCCTTTTGATTGGAGCTTCTCACTTTAGAGCTGAACATTGAACATCTCTGGTCTCTTTCCCGTGGTTCCCGCTAAGGAGCGAGTCCTGCATCCCAGGAAAATTAAAAAAACAAGCTCTATTGAAAGTTATCTTTCCCTCGGGGCCGGGGAACCTCAGTTGGTAAACCTCACAATCCACAACGGGTCATACCCCATAACTCGCCTTTCATGAGTTCAGGAACCTTGCGTCCCTAATGGATCGATTAAACGTTCCTACAAGGATTGCAAATTTCACGTAACCGATTGCTTTCAATCACCGACTATTGATGTGCGAAACTACAACTACTCAGTGACGATCCTCCATGTCACCTCATACGTTATTCAGCATGCAGAACGAGAATTTGGCGGCGAGACTGGCAATCACTTGATAAGCTTCTCTGGGATTGCAATAATTCATGAATGAATGGTCAAATGTTTTCATTCACAGCGACCGGAAATGTGTCCCATGAACGGCAGCTCAAGACACTGGACCCCGCCCAACCACCGATAATTAGACATTCTACGGTCGGCGCTACGTTCACACAAGCTTTCCCGAAGTCCGTGTGTGTTTCATCTCTCGCTTTGCTCCCGTTGAATGGAGCACATCGGCGGTTTCCATGACTACCGAAACCAACGCAGTTTGATTCGTAAGCGCCATCACAGTACACTATGGCGGACGGCGTTATCCAGGCACTCTATGGGCGCCTCGATGATGTCGTTGCTAGTGGCAAGTTCCGGGATGAATTATCGTAAGCTTACCCGTTCCCACAACCATTCACCGATCTGAAGCAGCATTTCAGGTCAGCCCGGAATTTGACGAGGCTCGATGAACTGCGTCTGACCATCCAGGCGTATGAACTTGCTCTGTCACATGCAAAATCAGAGTATGATGAATTGTTGTTGGCAAGGCGTTGCGAACTGGCCTTAACAATGCCTGTTTCTCGCCTGCCAGATGAAGTACTAGCAACGATCATGGAAGAAGCCTTTGGGGGCATGTTCATGACTAGCGCAGGCCGCAAGTGTCTGGCAATAATTGTGGGAGTATGTCGCCGATGGTACAATATCGCCGTTAATATCCCGCGATTCTGGCGGGGTATTGAGTTTGTAGACTCGAACCCAGCAGCCAATGTGCGTTCACTAGAACGTGCACGCGCGTACTTGATACGGTCCAAGATGGCTCCAATACACGTTCGTTTCATTGGTCTAAATAAGGAATTATCTACACAAGGATTCGAATTCATACATGCCATTCGTGAGCAGTTAGGGCGTATCGAACAGCTCGAGTTCCATTCGGTGAACGACGCGCAAGTTGGCCAAATGTTCCCCTTGAACTCTTCTCTCCCACGACTCCGTAGGCTGGATATATCCTTTGGGCTGGAGGACAGGAAATTTTCTAAGGATTTCGAAAACTGGGATGTCGACATCATGTCTGTCCCTATCATGTTTCCTGACTTCTCTGCTTCGACGATTCAGTCGCTTGCCGTTCGCCTCAGCGCGAAATTTGGCGTTGGCTTACGCGGAATTGACGCATCCAACCTCGCTTCAGTGGAGCTCCATGGGAACCCGGACCAAACCGATCTCTTTCGTTTTCTCGGCCATTGTAGCAACCTTGAAACCCTGGTCCTTGTTACGTACGGCGAACGCGAAGGATACGATCCAGTGCCCTCGATTCGGCTCCCTCGTCTTACATCATATAGAGCATCAGGAAGTGCCGCCGTTTGGTTTTCCCGATATGTTTTTCATGCCCCAAACATGAAGAATGTGGAATTTCACGTGGGTAAGCTTGATGATGAAATCGAATCATTCTTGGATGTGTGCGACGGTCCGGGTCTGGTACCCTGGAAGTACCTCGACACTTTCGCCCTGAACACTGACGATGACGATGACCGCTTCGATGCAACCATCGGAGAGTTCCTATTGTGTCACCCGCGCCTTACCAAAGTATGCTTGCCCATCGGAGTTAATCTATGCGATATCCTCAAGTTAATTACACCCCCGGCTTCGGCGTCGTTTGGGGGTCCCCAACTCCGTGTGCTTCAGCTAGTTGACGCCCCTGACCTCCGTGACTATCCTTTTCCTCCTATGGATCCCATCACGCCAGTAATCCATGCGCTTTTGGACCGTCTTCCGGAGCTCCAAATCGAGACGACGGATAACTCCACGGAAAGGAAAGAGAAATTTGTAGGGTTGGGGACGTTGTACCCTGGCAGAGTGATCGAGGTACAATCATCTGGTTTTGTCGCGTGGAAAAGCTTGTATTATTCTGATCACGCCTGACTCTAAAGACACTCGTCAGTTCAATCAGCTCAGTGTTCGAGTATAGCTGATCACATCTTTTCGGCCAGACATTGATCCTGAATCCTGAACCCTAATAATTCCGCCCCTTTGTAAATTCTGTAGTGAATATCAACACCTAACTAGCCGGCCAAGCCAACCAATTAGACACACAAATGACCAGCACTCCATCATCGACCCCATTCGAACCTCATGCTCCATCACTGGCTGAACGACTGCGAGCCGGATGCGCGTGCAAAGGCGATAGGCATGAATATGGATGCACCCTAATCGACATGATGTTACGAGGAAATCAGGTGTGATGTTACGGCGATAGCGTAGAGTGGAAGGCGCTATATACATTGAGTAGACAAAACCCTAAAATTATGACAAGAACATTCTAAGACAAACTCCTCAGCAATGGTAACATTTCGAGAAACTGGGCCCTATGAGGTTCTCAACTATAAAAAGATCCGTAAATACTAACCGAAAAAGGCTCAGCGCTGGCAGCTTTGCCACTGCTCCTAGCAAGCATTTAGCATTTGAATGATTGTGGGAGCCTGTGGTCATACATACGCTCGAAATTCGGTTCTCCACTCGCAGGAGGACGCAGATGGGTACCTAGCTGACAATTCTGTATGGAGACCAGACCAAGCGTTAGAGTGGACGTTTGGATGTCGGTTGAGTCTCGTAACTGGAGAGTCAGAATCGCTGTATAATATTACATAGAGGCAGGCTAGGGACCAAAGACAAAACGTGATCCTGTTGACAGGTAGACTAGTCGGGATAAAGGGGTTCCGCGTGATCCTGCCTCGATAAGGTTATGTTCATTCGTCTCAGTAGTTTTGACGATCATGATGGCACCTACACCTCCAGTCGCCCACTTCATTTTTGCTTCATCTCCCTTCTGGTAAGCATGTCTACCTCAAGGTTCATGGTTTGGACTGAGTTCCCTTGCAGGGGCCACTCGAGGCCCCAGCTGTATCTCGCATTTAGCCTTTTGGAAATGTTCCCATCTCTGCATATCACATTCCTTGTTGCCCCTGTCTTCGCTCCGAACATCCCTAAAGAGACAGCTTTTTTCGGTCCCTCAGAAGACGTCCGATCTCGGATACGCGTGGAGCCCCTTGGCCAATCGGGATTGAAGCAATCCGATTGGGAGCCCCAGTATCTTACATTTCTTGAAGATCTGAAGCCATGGCTTTTATCTCTCCCCCCTGAATCATCCCAACACGACTCGGGGGATGGATTCTCCAAACGGCCGACGCTTGCTGTAGTCGATGTATGCAATACCTCCTCGGCCTTAAGGCTGGTCAGTGATCGTCTCGCACCTTTTTGGCAGATACTTCTCGCCGGATGGACGGATGCGATGAGACAATTAGCAGATGACCCCTCGCATAACTTCTCCCCCATTCGGAGTCTTGCATATGGCTGCGGGCCCGCTGCCTGGACTTTATGGTAGGTGTTGTCACGAACCCGTCCCAGTATTCGCTCTCTTATCATCTCAACCGAAGGCGTATGACTAGAGCGCCCAGTGTAAAACGCTTCAAGGCACTCAAAGAGGACCCAAACAATGTATCAGTGCCTGTTGAGGACCTCCTACGTCAGGTAATCTTCGCAATTCTGGCGTCTTGAGCGGTGAATTAACCACCACGTTACGACAGGCATTCATGTATACGGATGGCTCGGTCATGGAGATTGAGGGGGTAGGAAAAACTTACGATTGTGTGTACTTTACAAGATGTCCCCCATGTTCACTGATCGGGGCCAATTATATTTGTCACAGATGAATTGGGTAAGTTGCATATGGCCTTAGGTTTTTGTAGGGGAATTGATTACACTTCCATATAGTCCCCCAGGCTGAGGCTGTTCCGTTCGATGGACATTGGCTCAACTTTGTTTTCGAGGGTGGCGCTAAGATCCGCAATTTCTCTGGACTCGTACTGTCAACGCCACCGGACATCGAGCCTGGACTCCAGCGTCGAATTGCCGAGGAACTGAACGGTATTTGTCTGCATGTAGGGTGAGTTCCTGCATTGCAGTTTCGCATGCTTTATTTGTGCTGAGAGAGTTATGGAAGGCCGCAGTTCCCTCCCTCGTTCTGGGCTAGGGAGGCGACAGCGATTGTGCACCATGAATCCATTGAGTTCCTTGATGATTGTGAGAAACGTTTTGGGGCGAATTCGGTGGTGTATATCAGGTAGGCTTGCCGTCGCATGTTGAATGTCGGTCATCTGTGGCACTCACGAGTGTTGACTAGTTTCGGTTCTTTATATTCCCCATCACAGCGACCTGACCTTCTAGAAACATTGATAGAATCGCTTCTATCCACTGAGCCTCCACTTCCATTCCTGTTAGCGACTGCCACTATCGGTGATGTTATCTCGGACAGAGTGCGAAAGCTCGTGTCGGAGAGTGGAGGGAAAGGGTTAATTACTGGATTTGCACCGCAACTGCATGTTCTGCAACATCCCGCTACAGGATGGTTCTTGGTGCGTTCAAGTATGTTATTGCGGCTGCGCTCTTCAATTGACAAGTTGACAGACACATGGGGGTGCGGGTTCGATCACCGAGTCGATCATTAACAGGGTTCCTATGGTCCTATGGCCGTGCATGACCGATCAGCCCATTGCTTCGTAAGTCCCATTACTCCATGGGGAAAAGGGGGATACTTACTCAGGTGGTAATCTACTTTGCCGTATGGGTCTCGGGTTACAGTATGAATCGTGGGTTCACTGTCTCATACGCATTGTGGTTTTGGATCTCATGGAGTATTGTTCAGTGACGCTCAACTGGAAGCTTGCCTTTGAACTTATTCAAGTCCGTACGGGCCCGGGGGCTGGGAAGCCCACCTATCGAGGGATCCAGCATGAGAACTCTATTGAAGCTGTCAAGCGTGAGATGGCCGAGACGTGGAAACTCATGCGAGGACCAGAAGGACGAGGGGTGCGCGAGCGTGTCAACCAGATGGGAGAGAATTTCGAACAGAGTTGGAAGAATGGACTGGCACGAGAGAACATGCGCCAGTTTGAGCAATTCTTCTAATCACCGCCATAGGCCTTTACCGTGTTTTCGCTTCTTAGATCATGGTAGGTATTATGAACCCCCACGAATTTGTCTTCGAAGAGATGCAATCATCACCAGCTCGATATTGTTTGACAGGTGACACCGTATTCAAGATACCATTTTACAGCCACGTGGTCAGTGTTTCCTGAGTTCTAGGCGAATGTCTGAGTAGACGGCCTAGTCAGAAGAGGGGATGCAGATAAAACACAAGACTGTCAATAGTAGCCAGAGGCATATGCAGGCAAAACCCCTGCGAGAAGTCAATCAGCAACAACAACAATCTTGCAAATAGTGCGGGCAAGTTGGATATGTCCGCTTTCCGCGATGTGCATTATGTCGATTAATTGAACGAGCTGGGAAAGCAAGAAAGCTTACAGACAAATGCGGGAAGAGGCTTCAGAAACACAGACAGCGGGTCACCGAATTCGTGCGCATCGTCAAGACGTCAAGAGCTAGGTAGACCTGCCACTGCAACCAGGCGATGGTTAGGGATCTGACATTCAGGGTAATGTCCCGGCGTTAAACTCCAAAGTCCGTCAATTGCCCGATGGCCGTATTTGATCTTGGCTCCACGCCTGGGCAGGATCCCAGCCTCTACTAAAGTAGACTCCACGCCGCGGGGTCTTGTTGTCACCCTTAAGCCTAAGCCAAAGAGTTGTTCACCCTAGAATGGCGTCCGCAATGGCTAAAAAAGCTGGCGTGGTCAGTTTATCCTCTCTGGTATCAAGCCTGACGCCATTTGACGCTTGCATATAGGGGCTCTTCGCGAAGCACATTGCGCAGTACGAACCAGCGAACCCCCTTTATGACACGTATACCGATAGTAAGGGAAAGGTCAAGCGGCGGAAGGTGAGACCTACATTGTGTGAGTTGTGTTTGCCAGTCCAACTGACAGTCTGTGAAGCGCGAGCTGCCGCCAGGGCTGTCGCAAAGAGATGCTAAGGTTTTGAAGCAGGTTAGATCTCGAGCACACTACCTTGATAAGGGTTTTCGTATCTGTGGGATGCGATTCGGTTGGACATTCATCATCGGTGAGGTTGCAGCACACAAGTCTCCTACTTCTGTGCTCACGTTTCACCTAGGTCTTGTCCCTGTTGTTGGGGATGTCTCCGACGCGGTTCTAAATTATAGTCTCGTCATCAAGAAGGCTAAACAAGCCGAAATTCCTAGTTGGCTCCTCCGTCGCATGCTCCTCAATAATGTGATCTCTGCTGGAGTGGGCTTCATCCCTCTGGTAGGAGACGTCATTCTTGCTGTAAGTCTCATAGGGCCCCGACTGTTCACTCTCCACTTTTTATTTATGACTATGTCGTCATTTACAGTCATACAAGGCCAACTCGCGCAACGCAGCTCTTTTGGAAGAGTTTCTTCGTATACGCGGACAAGAGTTCTTGAAGGGCTCTACCCAAAACGCTGAGATAGTAAAGCCAGGTGCAGGACGAACGCGCGACGAAGTCGTTCCTGGTACATCCACTTCGTCCCGTTGATCTTCACCAGCTATATTCATAGGGTCCCGTAAAAGAGAGGCTGGTCACTTGCCTACTGCGATACCTCATCTCAGATACCCAGAAGCTTCTGTACTCTCCCTTGCCTGAACAAAGTCTAAATTACATTTCGTTCTTTTCGTTCCACAGGTGGGGAAGTCAGTGCAATTGTTACCTGCTTTACAGTCCAGGGCGTTGAATTCTAGAGGTCCCCAGAAATGATCGTGACGCTTCAATATTCAGTCATACGTCGTGTGACGTGACAACTTCGCAGCCGCCACAAACCAGTTAAGATGAGCTACCAGACGCTTGAAGCAGACGATGTAAGCCATGAAATGGACCCCTTTCAATTGGGGAACTGGCTCTTATGGAACGTTCTTCGGCTAGATTGACGAGATGTTGCTGCGAATCATTAGAGTTTAAATGTGAGTTTCCATGAGTACCTACGGTCCAACACTGACCACAACCCGACCAAGCTTTCCTTGGGGATAACTCTAGTCAAAATACCCTTTCTCAGAATGCGTCACAGCCATCCCGTGGTACTCACGCATTATTTCATACCTAATACCTTCTGAACCTCCCCTCCAGGATACTTGCAGTCTGAAGGCTTATCATCCCCTCCCTGGACTGTAGAGTACTATCAGAAATACTTCGATGTAGACACGAAGACGGTGCTTTCTCGGTGTTACCACACTCTCAACCCTTTCTCCCATCCTCCCAGCTCCGTCTACTCCTCTCCAGATCTCTATGGCCCATTCTGGACACTCACGACAGTTATATTCTCTCTCTTCGTTTTTTCATCTCTTGCATCTTCAATCTCTTCGTACCTATCGGATAAACCTTGGGATTACGACTTCAAGCTCTTGGGTGTGGCTGTTGGGCTTGTCTATTCATACGGTATCGGAGTACCTGTTGCTTTATGGGGAATCCTGAAATGGGTCGGCGGTGGTGACGCTGAGTGGAGTTTGCTCGAGGCCATCAATGCCTGGGGTTATGGAATGACTGCCTGGATGTAAGCGCTTTTCCACCGAGTATTCCCCAACGATCAGTTTGAGTTGATTTTGTTCTGGTTAGACCCGTGTCTGTCCTGTGTATCATTCCAGTGCCAGTCCTTAGGTGGACTTTGGTCGGGATCGCCTTTGGACTATCAGGGACGTTCTTAGTGAGGAACGTGTATCCTGTATTGTCAAGTGTACGACTCTATCAACATTCGCGATTTGCAGCGCTTAACCCACCGTTGTTTTGCCAGGTCCCTCAAAAGTCCGTGCAGCTCATACTGCCGATATTACTCATCTTTCACATTGCCATTGCCATCACCTTCAAACTCTTGTTCTTCAGTTATTACATTGTAAAAGAGATAGGGCCAGGTGCTGGCGATTCGGGCGCAGGGAAGGGGTCATGATGTCGATAGCAATAGATACATTGTTTAATATGCAAGCGTTCCTCCATGGCCTTAGTCCGGTTGTTGTAATTGAGATTTGCGACGGGAACAATTTGGCAGACCAGATGCTACATGCGAGAACAGAGGGAGCGGAAGTTCTATGACGATGGTGATGACTTCACTTTATCCCACAGACGCTGCCAAACGGTAGGGTCCACTTGGACACTGAAATTCCGCGTGTTGTTCACCACACTCTGAATGTCGTCATTCCATTGTTGCTTGATTCGGGATGTAAAACTGCGGTCGGGGATGCGAGCTGCAGCCGGAAGAGGACCCGGCGGTGGGCTGGCCAAACACTTGAGTCGAGGGATTTGGAAAGGAGATGGAGCCTAGAGGGTTGTGACGGGAAGATTATGAGGCTCAGTGGCTCGGCAGGTCATGACGAAAAATACCTTGCTCTAGATGTCTGAGTTGATTCTTGAATGGAGTGGGAGAAGGAATAGTAGATCTGGTGGAACAAGGCACGGTCAGTTGGTTTGCCGCTATAATAAGCCTAAGGATACTGGTAAGTGCTCACCGCAGTTGCTGAGATGGCCCCTGCAAACGTCCCAACAGCAAAGCCACTCATTTATATCCTTCAAACAACTGTATCTTCAAAGCGTCTTTGGTTGAATCTGGGTCTTTAGCGAGCGGCCTCAGTACCGGGCTGAAGGAGATAAGTCCGGCACTCGAATTCTGAAGGCTTGGCCGTGAGAACCTAACCAATATTCTCAATGCCGTGATATTCAGGAATAGATTGCTCAGTTACGTGATCCATAGGGAATTGTACTGTTCCAGGCCTGTTCTCTGTGGCGAAAAACGGTGGCCGAACTTGTCATTCCAATGTACATGTCTCACTTTCCCAATGTGTACTAGACTCAGCATCGATCAAACACTAACCACATGTCAACAGGATGGATCTTCTAAGGGCCTCTACTTACGGGCGGGACCATCATCGGCATTGTTCTCAGAGATGACGTTAGTGGCCATTTGCATTTTTTTGGCACTATGCTACGGCCTCAATGTGGGCAGGCGACCGCTTAGCATCATTTGGATCAGAAATCTGACCCGGAATAATGTCGACATGTGTCAATGTTGAGGATCTTCACCCAGCGCTTCAGGCCCTCTGCGAAATTCTTCGTTACCCGCTAGGGATTCCGAGAGGCTCAACTCCCGCAAAGGCCGACACTGCATGTAAGGGCAAGTCCAGCTTTCCCTGCTCTTTCTATTGTCGTGATCACTGCTCTTGGTCGATACTGTGAGATTTAGGACTTCAAGTCCCCCATCATTGTTCTGATGTAGTGACGAATATCGGGTGTTCAGAATTTTGACGAGTTCACGAACAACGCCGTTAAGGGAGAACAACGTCAGCTGAGTGAGTGTGCGGGTTGAGATGACGGAAAGCTAGTTAAGGATAAGTTGGCTGAAATGTGCCCAGAATATGCCGCCTGCGAATGGTTTCAGGACGAGGGCCTATTCACGATAATCCCATGAATCGCCATCGACGGAAACCGTGATAAACAATGATTCCAAATTCAGGGCTTTTAGAGGGACTAGCAGGTCTCAAAGGCCTTCGAAGTACCTGCTGTCAAAGTGAAGCGTTCAAGCGACGGAAGAGTGATCGGGTGGGCATCAGTTGGATCGGAATCTCCTTTGACAATGAGGAGGTCAATGAACTCCTCGAGGTCAGGGGAATTTTCGAGAAGTTGGTGGAGCATTCCATATATCATTGCCGTTCAACGTATTGATAGTGGTCAGATGGAACGGTGCATCGGGCATGGACGTGATTTCGAGTTCTTCGATCTTAAAGGTTCGCAGCAATGGTGCATCAATGTACTTCAAATCGACGCGGAATGTTTCCCACCCAAGTCCTCGAAAACACGATCGATCAATGCGGAGGTCCAAAGCCCTTAGGTCGCTCGTATCGATATCACCATCTTCCAACAGTCTGAATGGGACAAAATGGTTGTAGTCCGGTGCGAGGATCATTCGGAGGGACCCTAAACGAGGCATCTTCTCATCTCCCTGGGCCCTCTGGATGTCTAGTTCTATTGGCACATCACTTTGACAGCTAGGTTCTCCAACGTACGCAGCTTCGTGGCATCAACATGCACCCTGGTCCATAACATGGCGTAAGATGCTGCCAGAGTCCCCCAGTGCGTGCACACATTGACAGGATTCGAGGCAATCCCCACTTCAGCGTGCACTGCCATATGAAAGATATTCAGAAGGATGCGTTCTGGAAGTATCATGATTGAGGCGAGGGAGTTCAGTGTAGCTACATAACGAGATCGCAAACTCATCTTCACCGTTTTCGATTTCTCCACAATGTCTGAGGCCTGCTGAAGATGCTTTCGGAGCGGGTCGATGTTCTTGGACATTGTCCTTCTCCGTGTGTCCTCGGGGGCCAAAAAGACAGGGACGAGACATAAGAAATTCCCTGAATGAGATTCTCTAAGGTGGATAGCAATGGCGATATTGAAGCCAAAAGGTTACTAATGTCTGACATTGCGTTCATGGTGGCTCGAACGAGCCGTGTCGAGTTACACGAGTACGCCTGAAGCGAGGTGCTGACTAGATGAAAGAATGTGCAGAAACTTCGTCTGCTGCGACTGGGGGAAGAGCTTCCCGAAACAACTCAGATATCCGAAAAGACGACCGTTTCTTCGATTCCTGAGAAGTGTCACTAGAAAACCGGTGAGTTGGTATGTAGTAGGAATCCAGGAACGGGATCTCGCAGCATTATCATGCGATCATCAGAAGGCTCGAAAGGGTGTCCCCTCTTGAACAACCGTGAGAGAGGCCGAGGCTCAGGTTTCTCAGACATCTGCACTAACAGTCTAGGAAGGGGGTAAATGGCCAGGTCGTGCGGCAACCTCCCCCGGCATATTTAGAAATGCCTTCGTCGACCAAGGAAAGCCGAGCGATCATCATGTAAATAGGATCAGTAACACCCAGCAAAGTAATGAGGTTCCCATTGTTTAAAACTGCAAACCCTTGAGTTCGACTGAACTGCGCTGTGGGTCAGTGATGGCGCAGGCAAAGTTCAAAGACCTGCATCGCGCGCACGCTTATAGAGGCAATCATCTGCTCAATCATACAGTGGCACACCGGAGCTACTAGAAAGTGGTCGCCTGAGTTCTTGAGAGTCCCAAATGGTAATGCAACTGAAATATTCCATATTCCAAAGAGGCTGGTAAAGGAAATGATACGAAGGTGACGAAGAGTGAAGCATTGTCGTCATTCATAGCTAGTAGAAGCGTGAGAAGGGCGATAGACGGCACATACTTTGGGTAGGCCTTCCGACGATTCACGCGCTTGTGTGAACAGAACACTTTGATTGCTGTTGTTGTTGTTTATTCTGGATATTTATCCTGCAAACTTTAGGGTGCTCGTGAGAGCGCCGAGGGCAGGGGTTGGAATAGATAAAGTGAGAAAATAATAATCTAAGTCCGATTCGAGTGCTCTCATGCGTTCTGACGAGGTAAACTCCGAATGCTGCTCCGCTTTTGAGTTGTCGCGTTGTGCTGGCCGATTTTGGGTGACGGTGTCGACAGAACGCTTTGACGATTGAATAGAAAGTGCCTGGCTCTGCGGCAGCACCTACTCTATTTTTTTTATATAACAACCGCGAATCCCACCTTGCCGATCAATCAGGAGCGTCCTATCCTGGACAATCGGTACCTTGTAAGCCTCCTCTGGCGATTCACATCTGTCATGTCTCTCTCTTCCGAGGGGACATTGGTGTCCTTCATACGACACTACGAACTCGCTATCCACGACAATTCTGGGAGCCTCAGCGCACAATCGAGTCACGCAGCCATGGGCTTGGGTACTCCGTTGTTGTCAGCCGCCCCCGCTGGTGACGAAAAAAAAACAATTATCGGTTCTATAAGGCTTCTCCAAGCTGTCACCTTTGCCCTTATATTTTATCCAAATCTCGACCAGATACCGAATATGCTCCTAGCATGCTTCAAATTTATAGGGGTTGTGGGCGTTAGGATCTCCATCCCTCATGTTTATTCTATCCACGTAGACTGTGGACGACAATGGCGAAGGTCCTCAAAGGACTAGATGAGGTTCGGAAGGCACATAAAATCTTCGTGCTCTTCCTGAAATCAGTGGTCTAATCCAACGGTTCAACTTGTACGTGCATGTAGCTCATCGTTCACTCATCTAAGTCTCGACTCACCCTTGGCTAAAACAACAACTAGGGCGACTTGAATTACTTAAGCGTAGGAAACTCGACAAGAGGGTAAATTTGGCAACCGGGATATCCTAGGAAATAAGCAACGTATTGGTGATGCTGTCGTGATTTGTTTTGTCCGTGCTCAGACTGCCCAGTGACTCACAGGGGCCTAACGTATATAAGCCTGAATCTCCTCCACTATCAGTGGACCGGCTGATTTCTACTTCTTGAACTTCAGATGAACCCCCGAAGCTTCCCGAGCGAATGCAAAATACGATGCTGTCAAAAGCAACTCGGGATACTTGCCGATTTGTGTGGTTGCGGAAAGACTGCTGTATCAATGAGCATCGCCTCCACTCTTGGGTCGTTTGGCAGCGTCTTTCCTCTGGGATAAAAGTCAAAAAGGAACAGAACTTGATTCGATTGAACATTTTCCCTCTGCCCTCGCGCGTCAACTTGCCTCGTCCATTGCCGAGTATGAAAACCTGCGTACCAGGTAACTGCGACAGCCATCCTTATGGAAGAGACTTCCAGGTTCTACTCTGGAGAAGCAGATGGGAGCTTGGGTGTCAATCCCATGCAGGAACTTGGACGACTATTTCCTTGGATGAGAGAGGCGTTTCGTCATCATCTCGGATGATCTAGATAGTCTAGAGGCACCACGGTTTCTGATGAGGCTTGTGCTTGTGCTTGCTGAGCTGCCGGGTATATTTGCTATGTTAGCCTGCTGTCGCCCAGAGTCACTAGTTGTGTCGGCATCCGCCAAGGCTCGAGGTCAGGGCCTTGTCATCCTGTGAAGGTGTGGACGTGACCACAAAATCTGAGAAGCTCATACTGTGCGGCGCATGGTCGAGAAGGGGCTTCGGACTCGCATCAAAAACTCCAAATGTCAGCTGTCAAAGGGAGATCCTGATGCTTTCGCTTCGTCTTGTCGTAAATCGCCTGTCATGGCCTCAATCCGAGTTCGGAATGTCTGATTTCGTCATGGTGCAACCTTGAATCTGAATTCATATCCCTCTGTGCCTATGCCCGATTCATCTGGAGTTCCTTGTTTGCTAGTGGGCGTCCTGAAGAAGGGAAAAGAAGCCACGTTAACATGCTAGGACGTCGTAGGGGTGTCTTGCCTAAGGATATAACGCGCCCATTGCAGGAAATGTGGGCCCCGACACTTTAACATGCGATGTCAAATATGGCTCTAAACATCTTCCAATTATGAAGATATCCTAGGATGTCCCAGGACATTCAGTTGGCCTCCGTCACCCACAGAAAATGAATTGCAACTGAATCCAGGACGTCGCTGTTTATATAAAAATGGCCTTCACACGTCCTGAGAACCCCCCTAAAGGCCCATATCTTGGCTACCTAAGGTGCACAAGGCGGACGCGTTTGCCTATGAGGTACCTAATGTGGAAGATACTATCTACTGGATAATGAGTATGCTATCATTATGGAACTTTATACAGCGAGCGGGATGAGGGATGGATGGTGAATACGGACCTACGCTCGTGCACGAACGACGTTTTTGAGCAAGACCTCCGTATTCAAGGTGATAGGGATCTGCCAGCTGTTGGTCAATAGTTGATGTTATGATTGATATACTCTCCTTGACCCCTCGTTCGTTAAGTCACAACAGTTTGAATTCAGATGATGTACAAAGGCATAAAGCCACCAAGAGAGTAAGTGGAACCGGGCTTATCTATGCCCAACTAGCGACGCAAAGGCAAAGATACTTTGAAAAAAAAAAGGCTAATCACGAACCCAGCGATAAATATTGCCGGCCGAGTTAACACCCCAAACCACGCCATCGGCACCCGTACCAATATCCGCAAGCCCACCAGTGACCTGGATCCAGGGTTTTTGATCATCGGCTGTGTACGTGAAGATGCTGCCCGCGCGATTAACTCCCCACACATTGGTTTTCACTCCAGCATCGATCGCAGTAAGGTAACCGGTAACTTGGACCCAGTGCCTGGGATCCCCCTCATCCCCAGTATAGCGAAAGACGTGAGTAGCGGAGTTGACCCCCCAAACCGTGCCATCGGCACCCGCTCCAATATCGGTTAGGGCACCGGGAATCTGGACCCAGGGATTGTTGTCGTCACCCGTGTAACGAAAGATGTTGCCAGCAGCGTTGACCCCCCACACATTGGTGCGCGATCCAACGGAGATTCGTACCAGGGTGCCAGGAATTTGGATCCAATGATTGGTTTCCCAGCGATAGCGAAAGATGTTGCCAGCGGAGTTGACACCCCAAACCGTGCCATCAGCAGCAGCACCAATATCCGTCAGGGTGCCAGGAATCTGGACCCAGGGGTGGCTGTCATCGCCTGTGTAGCGAAAGATATTGCCAGCGGAGTTGACCCCCCAGACGTTGGTGACCGATCCAGCAGCGATTCGCACGAGAGCACCGGAGATCTGCTTCCAACCCATTGCAAGTGATGATAAACTGGAGGACAAAGGCCTCAGTGCTGTGAATGAACGACGATATTGGGGAGAATATACCTGATAAAGCAGAGACTACATAGACGTGAGCACGGTATACTGATGGACGGAATTTTGTACGTACCGCTGTGAAGGATCGCTAGTGATGAGGGGAGAGATCTCTGCCCACACTTGTTATCTATATGTAGTGGCTCTTTATTTCAGGAAATGTTGAGCCGATCATGGGCTGGGAAATGAAGCTGGGCAGATGACCAGGCTTTCTAGCGGGGTCTGGAGAAGCAACAATTCATCGCTTACATAACTGTACAGAGAAACCAATTGATCGGGAGTCCGATTGCGGCTGGCTTACAAAGCTAGTTGGCCTCAGTATAGCCACCCATAATGAATGAATGGGGGGGAACCTGCGTCTATCTTTCAGTCTCCAAGAGTGCTCCTCACTGTGGATAGCCTGAAGAATAGCGAGTTGAATGAAGTATGTCTCACCATACAACTCTCATATGTTTCACGACTTAGGCCAACCATTTCTTGGCACCGACACTAAACCGAGCGTCTTCTTTAATTCATCTCAAGTACCCGAAAACTCTATCAACACTGTGGCCGCTGGGCCCTGATATTACTCACCTGGGGGGAGGACTGTCTACCAAAGTCCAAAAGCAAAGCCTAGTACCATGCTCGTTGGTGTAGGTGCCAATCTGGAGGGCCATACAAGTTGCTGCAGACGAAAGGAGTGAGAGAAGGACGTTTCACAATGTCGAAAGGATTCTTAAATATATCTCTTCGAACACGGGCCATATCTTGGGCAGAACGTCGAGTTCTCATAAACACGGGGTGGAAAATATATGCGGACGTACGGACAGTTTTAGTCATCAAGATAAGCCCAACCATATTCATTCTCGCGGATTTCGATTATTAAAAGCGGCGTGCCATGGACACGCCCGGCTCTCATTTGGGTCTCTGAAAATCACGTTCAAACAACAAAGCCTCAATTGTTCATTAATAATGGAGCGGAGACAGATGGAATCGCCCAGCGCAGTTCTGCGCTGCAGAAACCTGGGTGGACGATTGTGCAGGCTTTCGCAGAAGTGTGGCAGTCCTCGGAGTGGCGCTATGCAAAAGGGACCAATTCAAATGGCATCTATTGCCGAGCGCCAATCGTAGCGTTGCAATGCCTCATGAATGTCCGGGTTGTTTGGATTCAATTGCAACAAGGCGATTTCGGTTTTGACTTCTCCGTGATTCGTCCTAATTTGGATTACTGGTGATTGAGTTCTTTTCAATTGGCTTCTCGGATTCCGGCATACGGTTATGTAAGCGATGAATTGGCTTCTGCCAGGCTGGTCACCTGCCTAGCTTCATTTCCCATCTGGCTGCTGAGGCTAGGCGAGTTAATCGCCTAGCCTCGCCTAGCCCATGATCGCTCGTTCAATTCAACATTTATTTCGTATTTGTTAGAACGCGGGTTCAACTTGGTCCTGATCGGGACGTAGGTCATACATAAACTGAAATAAATAATGAGCTACTACATATATATGACAAGTGTGGGCAGAGATACCCCTCATCACTAGCGATCCTTCACAGCTGTACGTACAAAATTTCGTTCATCAGTATACCGTGCTCACGTCTATGTAGTCTCTGCTTTATCAGGTATATTCTCCCCAATATCGTTGTTCATTCACAGCACTGAGGCCTTTGTCCTCCAGTTTATCATCACTTGCAATGAGTTGGAAACAGATCCCCGGTGCTCTCGTGCGAATCGCTGCTGGATCAGCCACCAACGTCTGGGGGGTCAACTCCGCTGGCAATATCTTTCGCTACACAGGCGATGACAGTCACCCCTGGGTCCAGATTCCTGGTGCCCTGACGGATATTGGTGCTGCCGCTGATGGCACGGTTTGGGGTGTCAACTCCGCTGGCAACGTCTTTCGCTATCGCTGGGACACCGATAATTGGATCCAAATTCCTGGCGCTCTCACACGAATCTCCGTTGGATCGCGCACCAATGTGTGGGGGGTCAACGCTGCTGGCAACATCTTTCGTTACACGGGTGACGACAGCAATCCCTGGGTCCAGATTCCCGGTGCCCTAACCGATATTGGAGCGGGTGCCGATGGCACGGTTTGGGGGGTCAACTCTGGTGGCAACATCTTTCGCTATACCGGGGATGAGGGGGATTCCAAGCACTGGGTCCAAGTTGCCGGTACCCTTACTGCGATCGATGCTGGAGTGAAAACCAATGTGTGGGGGGTTAATAGTGGGGGAAACATCTTCACGTACACAGCCGATGATCAAAGGCCCTGGGTCCAGGTCACTGGTGGGCTTGTGGATATTGGTGCGGGTGCCGACGGCGTGGTTTGGGGTGTTAACTCGGGTGGCAATATTTTTCGCTGGATTCTGTGATTAGCCTTCTTTTTTCAAAATGTCCTCTCTGTCTTTGCGTCGCTAGTTGGGCATAGATAAGCTCGGTTCCACTTGTTCTCTTGGTGGCTTTATGCCTTTGTACATCATCTGAATTCAAACTATTGTGACTTAACGAACGAGGGGTCAGGGAGAGTACACCAATCATAAAATCAACTATTGGCCAACAGCTAGCAGGTCGCCGTCACATTGGATATGGAAATCTTGCTCTCGTGCACGAGCGTGGGCCAACACTCGCGATCTCACCGCTATAGGTTCGTGGCTTGTAGTCACTCCCCATTCCTCATCCCGCTCGCTTTACAAAGTCCCATAATAATAGCTGTGAAAATACTCATTATCCAGTAGATAGTATCTCCCACATTAGGTGCCTCATATCATAGACGAAGGCGTCCGCCTCGTGTACCTTGGGCAGCCAATATGCGGGCCTGTAGGGGGGTTCTTAGGACGTGTGCACAGGCCTTGAGGCCATTTTTAAACAGCAACGTCCTGAATTCCCATTTTTTGTGGGTGACGCAGGCCAATTGAATGTACTGGGACATCCTCACAATTGAACCTTCCGAACCTCATCATCTAGTCCTTTGGGATTTTCTTCATTGTCATCCACGGTCTACGTGGATAGAATAAACACGAGGGATAACCGCCTACAAATTGTAAGCCATGCTAACAGCATATTTAGTACCTGGTCGAGGTTCGGAATGGGGAAAACGTGGGGGAAAAGGCGGCGGCTTGGAGAAGCCGTATGGAGCCAATAGTTGATTTCGTTTCGTCGCCACAAGAGCAGCTGTTACTCTATTAACAACGGAGTACCCAAGCCCGTGTGGTTGCGTGATTTTATTGTTCCCCAGGATTGTCGTGGATGGTGAACTCGCTATGTGCCATGTGAGGGACATCAATGGCCCCCCGGGAGAGAGAGATGTGAACCTCCAGGGGATGGATGAAGAGGCTAGATAAGGTGCTCTTGATTGATCGGCAAGATGGGGATGAAGGAACAGTACGATGGCCCCGTGCGGCAACCTCCTCGTGACGTAGTCAGAAATGCCTTGGGGACGAAGAAAAGCTGAGCGATCATTACATAGAATCAGTGACACCTAGGAAAGTAACTGTTTAGGTGCAGACTCTTGAGTTCGACTGAACCGTGCTGTGCGCTGGATCAGTGACGAGGCCCACTAGAAAGTGGTCGCCTGGGTTCTTGAGAGGCCCTCAAGTGGTAAGTGTTCCAGAGGCAATGGTGCGAAGGTGACTATGAAGAGTGAATCATTCAGAAGGGCAGCGATAGATAACACCAGATAACACCACGTGCTTTGGGTGTGCCTTGAATTTCAACGATCAAGACACAATGCATTCGGCCAGCTCCGCTACATATAATACACATGTTTCAACTAATCAATCGCCTTGACTTGGGTTTTCTACTTTTGTTCTCGTTTTTGCATTGTACATTCTTTCATCTAATCAGCCCCTCGCTTCAGGCTTACTGTATTCGTGCAGCGCTATCTATCTTGACGTCACACAACACCGCTTGTTGAACCGCCATGAACGCAATGTCAGACATTAGTAACCTTTTGGCTTCGATATCGCCGTTGCTATCCACCTTGGAGAATCTCATTCAAGAAATTTCTTATGTCCCATCCCCTGTCTTTTTGGCCCCCGAGGACACACAGAGAAGGACACTGTCCAAGAACATCGACCCGCTCCGAGAGCATCTTCAGCAGGCCTCGGACATTGTGGAGAAATCGAAAACGGTGGAGATGAGTTTGCGATCCCATTATGCAGCCACACTGAACTCCCTCGCCCCAATCATGATACTTCCAGAATGCATCCTTCTGGATATCTTTCATATGGCAGTGCATTCCGAAGAGGGGATTACCTCAAATCCTGTCGATATATCTCTGGTGTGCAGGCACTGGGGGACTCTGGCAGCATCTTACGCCATGCTATGGACCAGGGTGCATGTTGATGCCACGAAACTGTATACGTTGGAGAACCTAGCTGTCAAAGTAAGGGATGTGCCAATAGAACTGGATATCCAGAGGAGGGCCCGAGGAGATGACTCGTGGATGTACGATGATGAGAAGATGCCTCGTTTAGGGTCCCTCCGAATGATCCTCGCACCGGACTACGACCATTTTGTCCCATTCAGGCTATTGGAAGATGGTGAAATCGATACGAGCGACCTGAGGGCTTTAGACCTCCACATTGATCGTTCGAGTTTTCGAGGATTTGGGTGGGAAACGTTCCGTATCGATTTGACACACGTTAATGCACCATCGCTGCGAAGCTTCAAGATCGAAGAATTCGAAATCACATCGATGCCCGATGCACCGTTCCATTTGACCACTCTATCGATACGTTGGACGGCGATGACATATGAAATGCTCCACCAACTTCTCGAAAATTCCCCTGACCTCGAGGAGTTGTTCATTGACTTTCTCATTATTGTCAAAAGAGATTCCGATTCAAGTGATGCACACCCGATCACTCTTCCTTTGCTTAAACGCTTCACTTTGATAGCAGGGTACTTCGAAGACCTTCGGGACCTGCTGGTTCTTCTAAAAGCCCCGAATTTGGAATCATTATCTATCACGGTTTCCGTGGATGACGATTCATGGGATTATCGTGAATACGCCCTCGTCCTGGAACCATTCGTAGGTGGCATGTTTCTGGGCATATTTCAGCTAACTTATCCTTAACTAGCTTTCCGTCGTCTCAACGCGCACACTCACTCAGCTCACGTTGTTCTCCCGTAACGGCGTTGTTCGCGAACTCATCAAAATACTGAACACTCGATATTCGTCACGACATCAGAACAATGATGGGGGACTTGAAGTGTTAAATCTCAGAGTGTCGACTAGCAGGAGGGATGGCGACAATAGAGAGAGCAGGGATGATCTACGAGAGCTGGTCCTGACCTTATATAGATACTGGCGGCCGTTGCGGGAGTTGAGCCTCTCGGAATCCCTAGCGGGTAACGAAGAATTTCGCAGAGGGCTGAAGCGCTGGGTGAAGATCCTCAACATTGACACACGTCGACATTATGCCGGGTCAGATTTCTGATCCAAATGATGCTGAGCCGTCACCTGTCCACTTTGAGGTCGTAGTATACTGCCCCCTACAGCAGGAGACAAAAAAAATGGCGACCTAATTTATCTCGATGATTGATCAACGTTCTAGGGAAAATGATGAGCGCTTCTTGAGTCGTCACGTCTCGGCATGACTGTTACAAAAATGGGGCCTGAGGCGCCCATTTTCGTCCGTTCTTGACGCAGGAAAGTGGAAAGTGGAGGTGAGGTGGTTCATTAGGGTTTACAGATGGTTTCACAGATGTTGTAACATGAGGTTTAACAGATGTTAGCATAGCGGGTTTTTTGGTAATTGTTTATTTTGTTAAACTATATTACTATATAAATCACATGATACAGAACCCATAAGAGTCTAAAATGGGAAATTCCCATTTCCATAACAATGACCGTGACTGCTGACTGCACAGAAGAGAGCGTCCAACTCCCGGACGTGCAGCACCTGGCTTCATACCTTAATTCGTGCTTAATGGACGGGTAACCTCGGCCATCAACCAAGTATGAGAAATCGCCTGCAGAGCTCCACACCACCCCTGAGCAAAGAGACAGGTAAAATATTGGAGCTTATAAGTTCCTTGGACCACCTCCAACAATCTCAGTCACTGTGCCACTAACCAAGGCACTCGAACAGGCAACGTGTGAGAGCCTAGCCCAATCAAATGCCACCTTGTGTAATAGCAAAAGCAAATGAAGGGACTCGCGCAAAACAAAACATCATGCCATCGACAATGAACATCGCACCAGCTACCCAGCTACCCACACTTCAGAACAACAGCCCCAACATCGTTGGGTTGTATGTGTGTATGACCACGGAGAGCAGCGGGTTTTGCCAGTTTGCTGCAGCTTTGCGTTCGAACTTTGTGATGCAGCTCATGTATATATTAATTCATCTTGAGCGGTCACAACATCAATTGTGTAGCTGCAGCGTTGGTGTTACTCCACCGCCAGAAATGTTCTTAACTAGAGCGCGATTTAGCTTTTTTTGACTTGGTGCGAATGGCCGATCCCCCCAACTTAGATGACAAGACTCTTCCTCTGAGCTGTTATAATTAATGTAGATCAATTCCGGCTCCTGCAGACATTTTTATGGAGCCCAGGAGCGGTCCCGTGTGTGGTAACTCCTGTGCTGCTATGCGATTAGTAACTCCCTCCACATAAATCTTCCACATAAACACTAGCTATATATGTGCCCGGCCTCCGGTGATTCGTGATTACAACAATGAGACAGTTCACTGTCGATGAGCCACTCCATGCATGCCGAGGTTGTACATTATCAAGTACGTTAGTGAAACCAGCTCATGATTATCCAACTGATCCTCGGAGGTGCTATTGCCACGTTTGGTGATGTGCTTACCCAGCTTGGGCTTGGATGATTTGTCCAGGGGCAGCAAATGACTCTGTTGTACCCAAAGTCATACGCGGGTTCAGTCGTATCAGAATTTGTGGCCTTTTCCAAACTCAAATGGGTACTCTGGGGCGCACCGGTTCGAAAAGAGCGTCGGCTTCGGGCGCCAACTAGTCACTGACCATCATAAATGCTAGATTTGGTTTTATTATTGAGCGAGCTCTCCGTCCTCTTCCGGCCCTGGATGGTAACCCGAAGGACACCCAGACAGCACCTGACAGTCAGCTGCCGCTCCGAGTCGTCTGGCATTAGAGCATACACCCAGATTTGACCGATTGAGGCAGCGACGATCCGTACTTGAACGATCCAGGCCCCATGAGGCCTATGATTTCCCCCATTCATTTCGTTTCTCGGCCTGCTGCCCGCACCATAATGTAAACGGCCGGAACCGGTCGTTGGGTTCGGACACTGGGAATTTGATGTCGATTCTTGATTCTGGCTGTCACGTTATGTGACTTGATTCTGACGCCAAGAATGCCCGTTTCCTTGTCCGAGACAACCTCCGATCGCTGTGCACGGTTGCTGACAGACTCATAAGAAATAGAGTGAGGATCGATGTGAACGTCGTCAGGTAAAATGCCCAAAGAAAGTGAAGTGGAGAATTAGTGTAGCATAACTGTGTGGGTGATTTGGACGTGTAATACGTAAGAGACGTAATGAGGATGGATCTTGATAACACCGTATTACTAAACGCGTCGAATTATCGGAAGTCCGAAGCCCCCCCTGACGTCAAAGATGGGGAGCGTCGGAGTAACGATGGAGCGATGAAGAAGAGATTGAATGGTAGGTACGCGCGGCACCCATTGTGCTCCAACGGCACCGAGCGGACAGGGTGTCACAACGCATTCAGAGATGACCAGTGAGCGACTCCTCTTTAGTCAGATGGGAACAACACAACCCGGGTTAGGGTTGCAGTAGTAGTTTCACACATCCAACGCTAGGGTTCCGGATTCGGGGGTAAGGACCGCGGGTATAAAGGTGAAGGGATCTCCCAGCATTGATAGGGGTTCACTTGACAGTACTCCATGTGATACATCCACCACAGAATGATGATGGGAACCTCACGAGGTTCATTCGACAACCGGGTGAATTTTTGTGTACAACTATTTACTTACGTACTCCGATCCACTCTATGGCTGACATAAGCACCTCCTTGAGGCCTATATGTACCCGCTGTTTCGTTTCCAACAATCCACAGGCATCGTCCAGCTCCTCCCTCTTCACCTCTTCCTCCCCGTTATTTTTTAGTAGTTGTCCATTCACCCAGTCCCCCCCCTCCCGTTCTATCCACAATATCCTCCACAGGCACTTTCCATCACAAACCGACCCGATGATGATGTTCACTCCTGTCGCATTCCTACTATGCTTGCTCACTCTGGTTACCGCCAGTCCCATCGAAAAACGTATCGTCCCAATCTCCAAATGTAAGACTCTGGCAACTGGTATTTTGCGGTCCGGTGCGTTTTCGTTTCATCACCCCATGACATTCATTCATCCTATTCCTCTCGTCGCTCACGCTACTTCTTCAGCCACTGGTCATAAACTCTCCCTCTCATCCCACAACGTCTTATCGTTCGGGAAGAAAGACCTTCATGTAGACTTCCAGAGCTGTCAACCAAACTTTGGTCACTGGGATGGTAAAAACAGTACTCCAGTTGGAGGTACGTTCCGTCATTATTTCATATTCCGAACGCTTCTTCTCACATTAGCGACTAATTCCCCTGTCACCACTCATCTACAGGTCATTTGGTCGTCAAGTCTACTGGCAAATGCTTGACGATCAAAACTCCTTACACTAGCCCTCCCTTCACCGTCACAACGGAGCCTTGCTATTACTCTGACGATAGCGGCCAGACATTCTCAAACTTCATCGAGGGGAATGGCAGGAAGATTTACTTTGTTGGGAAGTAGGTACCTCTCCTGCCCCTTATGATCTTTACTCACGTTGGTTCGATGGCATGGCACAGTACCCAAAAGGACGGCTCGCTCAAGTTCTTTCAGAGCAAATGCAAGTCTGGATTTTATGGCGTTTCAGGTTCAGCCAAGAACGGGACAGCGTTGCTCCAATGCGCCAACAGCAAAGGCATCGTCGCCTTAACCCTCTAGTGTCTCATCTCATTCCTCTCATCTCATTACCTTCTGGCCGATAATGCCTTTAACCCATGACACGCAGGCGCCTCACGTTATCAGACCTGGTCGTCTTTTCGGTTCTCAGTTTGCACCGTCGTTCGCCACGGATATTTTCGTCACACCTCATCCTTCGTTCTAGCACGTTTCCACTGCTCAGACGAAGCGTCCTTTTCCTTTGCATTCGGCGAAGGACAACTCCCAAAGTCCATTTTTTATTTTACATCCGCGTCACCACTATTCCTCCGTTCCAAGTACTGGTAGTTTCCACTCACAAAGGACACATTATTAACGATTGCGCACTATCACATTGCATGCAAAGAATTGCACGCTTTCCATATGATTGGACACTGGCTTTTGGTTTCTCACTTCCCATGTGCAATACATACAGCAGATCTCTTTTACTCCCTTTTCCCTTCAACTTCTTCGTTGCCTCTGGTTGGGTCCTGCGCTTCTCCGCGGTCTTTCTGTCTTCTCCGTTGCCTTTCAACCCTACTTTTTTTTTTTTTTTCTGAGATGAACAATTGTAAATTTAGCTAGGCTACGGTGTCTTTCGGTTCAGCATAACACCCATGTTCCCTCAATACAATCGACGGATGTCTCTGGTCTTCACAGGCCAAAGGCTCGCATAGATGGGCATTCCGGAGAGTTGCCCGGAATGTTGTTGGTGTCCAGTTGTCCAATAATGTGAGAACGTGTTAGGTTGGAAGTGTGGATGGTGGGTGTTGCGACGGATCTTGATCGTAACATCAAGGGCGTATATACAAAGTGTGCCTTTACTCGATACATAATGTTGAATGCACAACCAGAGGCTGGAGTCATGCTACAGGACCAGGACGGTGTACCATCCCCGGCCTCCATTCAACTCACACCGATCCGGCCGTCACCGTTGCGGGCTCATCTGCCGTTATTTTTCTTTCTCGTGAATCCTGGCCGCCTTTGTGCGAAGAGGGTTACCATACTCTTGATCGAATTGTTGTCTTTTCCTACTTTGGGTTTGAATACTCAGGTATGTTGTGGTTACTGACGATGGGAACGATAGAATCTTCGAGACCGCGCCAAGAGGGAATTAAGATTTCCCACGAGAATCACACCGGACGAGATTTCACAAACCCACTGGGTATTCGGTACACCAGGCTTCTTCTCGTACTTTCAATCGAATGGCCACGCGTAGAGAGGTATGAGAATCAATCAGCTCCAAATTCTTCTTACCGTGCATGTGCAAATCAGATCTAGGCACGGAGTTGAGTGATGGTTTATGTACAAGCGCTGCATGGAAATTTTTGTGGGGAAGGCCGTAATTTCCCAATCAGCGGGGATTTTTCTTCACCTGCATCGGGAAAGGATAGCGATCGGTGAGCAAGTCTAGACTGGATAAGAAATCGGTGTCTTTTATGCGTGTTCCTTTAGGTCCGGTCTCGTGTTGACGTTATCTTTGCGAGCGCGCTGTTCGAAGCCGGGATTCATAGATGACGACGACGACGACGACAACGACAGAGTAATCAACACCGCTAGGGTTTATGATCCCCGGTAGGATAGTTGGGCGTGTATGGGAAAAAGAAAGGTTATGAACATATGTGGTTTGCATCCGCAAGCATCGGATTGCCCGCGTTCTGAATCAGCCGGTTCCGTTATGCCATGATGCAGTCCTTTCATAGAGGCCCCCGCACGGAAGCCCCAGCATCTCTTCCAGATAGAGATTCAGAATCTGCCTAATTTTGACGTAATCCGTACCGCGATCCAAGGACTCAGTGGCAACGTTGCAGCCGATCGGTTGACCGAAGTCTTAAATAGCATCAGTCGCGATGTAGGGACTCGGGAGTATGTTAAGATCCGTGGTGTTCATCAACTTTTACTGAGGGTCTACATGGGGAATTTTATTATTCACAAGTAGAGACTTGAAGTTGTCTCTGAAGGTACGACTGAAGAAAAAGGCTTGAAGCAGGCGATCCCCACCATTTTGTGGCTGTGCTGACTACCAGAAAATATGCATGGTGCAAGATGAAGGATAGTTAATGTATACTCCAAATATTACAGTCCTAGAGTGGTGTCATACCCTAGGAAGCTTGGGTACATGTGAGGTCTGTATGGGCTTGCCCAGCACACCAGGCTGTAAGTGTGTAAGATATTTACTTAATTCCCGCTACTCTGTAGCGGGTCCTGCAAATTTTTCGCCCGGGACTGAATTCGTTTTCTGACAAGGTCCTCCATTATTGCCAATTCTGCATAACCCAGGGTCCTCCAATCACTATGTTCGGTTGCTGTTCGGTGATTGTTACAATCCAATACCACTTCTTTTTGGGCTCTTGTCTGCAGGTCCGATTCAATATCGGAAATTGATCTGCCATGCTTTTGCGCATTTCATGCTCTGATGATAGTTCTGATCTGGATGGAGGTGACATCCGACATCCCCTCCGCTGTTTCCAACAAATTTCTATTACTGTATCCAGATCGAAAGCTCACCATTCAAAGTTCCGAGTTCATCACGGTTTGCATTGCTCTGTCTTACTTCTGAAATCTCTACCTCTACTTCTCCATTTAAAGATCCTTATCAGCATCTGACACGCTTTCGGTCTCTTGTCTCATGATATACTTTTACTCTGAGGTCAATGTCCACTGGCCGCACCTCATCCTCTCCCTTGTTACAGAAGGTCATGAGGATTTGCCTTCCTCCAATGTCATGCTTCCTATTTGCTGCAAATGTCATCGCTCTTTAGAACCTTGTCATATTCCTAAAATGGCCATAGCTAACGATTAATATTTCGGACCCATTCCGGAACCTTGCTGAGTTGACCATCATCAAAGCGGCCCTGATTGTGCGGATTGTCCATTTGTGCAATGTTTTGTCCACTGGTCATTCTATTGATCCTCCTTCCAATCCCAGCATGATTGAGCAAGTGTTCATAGCACTCCCTGTAACTGTGGGGACTCAAAAATAGGGCAAGAAGAGTGGTGGGTTCTGCCGTGTCAGGCAGCGCCTATCAGTTATTGCGCTATATGCGCGATATTATGTTTGCCTCACACTTCCACACTGAGAAAAGTGATTCCATGATAAAATCAGGTGTGGCATGCGACAGGGGTTTGCGCATAAACCCAATTTAATCTTGACTTGCCTGCATCATAAATCCCCATTTGTTCATGAATTTGACCAGAATCATGTTGTAAAATCTTGGTTTGCAGGGGACTTAACTGTGAAGATTCACGATAGTATCACCAATATTTTGTCCTACTGCCGTGACTAATCCGAGACTTTATCACATATTTATGAAGGACATTATCTCATTGGAAGCTCACCAAGTGCATTTAAGTAAAGGTGGTGTGGAAGAGTGCTTCTAGTATGAGGGCTGGTGTCACGAACCTCTCGGCACTAGCGAGTGTGGGAACGGAGCAAGAGTCGTGAGATCATGAGAAACAAGATCATGAGCCAGAAGATCACAAGATCACAAGAAATCAATTGAGGTCAGTGACCTGTGTTGACCAGTTGAAGAATCTGTCAAGAACATGTGAGGAGGGCAGTGTCCCTGGACCTTTCCCCAGAAGGAGGCCGGAGGTAGAGAATGAGCGGAGGGACTGTGGCCTCAGTGACTTGGAGAGGAGTGCTGTGCCTACGTTCGGTAATGCTTAGGAGTCTGGTCCTTAACTTCAGAACAGGAGGGCGCAAACTCTGGGGGGTAGTCTAGTCATCGATTTTGCACTAAGGTGCCATCAACTACAGTACAGGACTTATATACATAATAGAAGACAAATGGGAACAAAGGGGAAAACCCAAGGGGGACTTACCCACTTGCCAGGTCAGCGAGCTTGTGAGAGAATTGCCTTATCGGGTGTTGTGGAGTGGGTAGGTGAAGGGTGGAATTAGTGACAGCTACTAGAAGTGGGAAAACCTTTGCGAAGTGGGCAGAGGTCCTAGGAGGTCTGTAGTAATATTGGGTAGATAGAAATATTAATAATCGTATAGGATGAGGATAAGTGGTACCGGAGAAGGTACTGGAGATCGGAGGCAGAGGTGAACTGGAGGTGGACTGGAGGGTATAGCGGAGGTGTGGGGGGAGGATGGACTGGAGGTGGACCGGAGCGGTGGCAGAGTGGAGTGGAGGTGAGGTGGAGTTGTTATGGATATGACAGAATCCATCTTCACTGGTCAACTCCTTATATACATGAAAACAGGCCAAGACATGCGAGATAAGACAGGAGAAACAGACCAAACATCTGAGCCGTACAGGTAGTTGCAAGGCTACATGAATTGAGATGAAACTGAAATGAACAAGACATGTGAGACACATGAGACATCCATCAAATCCGTCCAGGGTTACGGCTTAACTGTAACAGCTGGGTTGATGAAGAGTTGGTGGAACAAGAAGATTGGAGGTGAAATGATAGCAATGAGAGAAGTCGAGACTACAAGCAAAGTGAGCATGGTGTTCGTTAGACTGGAAGATCCAGAGTTGGTTAGGCATGACAGCAGATGAACAATTGTCACCTTTCTGTCCCAAACCCCTCAGGCTTGCACATCTAGCCCTTCCCGGTTTGTCATTTCCTCTCTGACCAGAGCCCCTCATGCTTGCATGTCTGCACTTTCCCATGGCCATCATCACCTCCTTTTGGGCCCAAGCCCCTTGAGTCTGTGTGTCCACCCAGTGCAGTGAAGAGTGCCTAGAAATCATGAGCATCCAATCAAATAGGAAAAATATTGAGTACCTTTTCCAGCTTTGGTATGCGTGTGATTGCTGTCAGGTTCCACTCCATTCTCCTCAATGAGAGAGGTGGTTTTCCCCAGAAGAGCACACACTATTCGAAGGTCAGCATGTTGAAAAGAGTGTGTGAAAAATTAACTTACGTTTTGGTTGCAGTATTGAGATGAGTGTTAGCAGGATTACAGATCAAAAGAAGCTAGATGGTTGATGTAGGTGTATGATAAAGTTATCTCTGGTACTGTCATATGCAAGTGTCCATTCAAGGCCTACCCAGATGTTGGTGGAATGGAAGGATTGCAGTTTGGGGCTTGGGGCTTGGGAGGTGACAACAGCAATATTGATGAGTAATGCATTTCGGACTGAGTTCAGTGCATCACAACCATTCCAAAGCCTGTTCCAGGCACAGGACTACCCAGCAGGACACTTGGACACTGAAGGAGAGAATGAAGGAAGGTCAGTTGGGAGGTTCAAATGAGACCACCACCAAGCTGTTCCCTGGTTCTTTAGTTAGGATGGGGAAGTGTACTAGTAATATTTGTTGTAATTGTAGTACCAATCTGAGCATTTTGGCTAATTCTATTTTATGGGTTAGTCTAAAAGTTTCTGAGAATTGAATTACAGATAAACAAAGCCCTGCGGAGCTGTTCCTCTATTGTAATTTCTCAATTTGTCTGGGTGTAATTCTGTGTAGGATTGTTTAATTTGGATTTTAACTTGAATTAAATCTTCTACTTGGTGAAGTTTCAAAGATTCTACTCAGTTAATGGGTTTAGATTGTGTCTGAAGTGTCCCTTGAGTTTGTTTTTATTTTTGTCTTATTTTATTGCTTGTTTTAACAGTAGCAAAATAACTGTTTTGTGTTTACACTTTGAAATCTGGAGTGTTAACCAGCTCTCCTGTTGAAATATTTACTTAATATTT